CTCAAGGTGAATAAACCTTAACTCACCCAGTTAAAGCAAGCCTCCGGAGTTGTCAGGCGGGTTTTATGGTAACTGACACACTTTGAAGTCTGAGATTATAAAAAGGGGTTTGGCTTTATGAACAAGAGAAAATGCACCTAACCGTTTAAAATACCCAAATGCTTAAGCGCTTTCCGCTATGGCCCACCTCAATGGCACATTTTGACCTATAGGGGCTCCTAAAGTGGGATGCGACTGTTCACATGCATGCACAATAAGGTGCAGGAAGTATCAGTTTATTGGTACGATCCCTCTTACTGTACTCTCTACTACGGTCCCACTCCTTAGACCCTTATGTCGTAAAATGCCAGCTTGATCTGATGGGTGTGATGCGCTCTCGGCTGCTTACCAAAAAAGGTTTAACCCAGTTCCAATGTTGCAAAGGCCTCTCGCAAATTTTGTTGGATAACATTTGAGGGAGATGAGGCGTCTGGTGGTACTTCCTAGAAAGGATTTAAACAATCGATTTGGGCGGCGCATTCCCACACTTCTTGAAAAAAGCCCATGAGCCTAGAAGATCCTCACTGTTTATACATCGCTCACCAACTGACCACCCTGTTCGTACGTGTGCAATTAGTCACTCAGTGAAGGCCGAAAAATAAGGACTCGGACCTATCTACTTTAGGTGGTCCAACCTGTTAGAACTGGGACACGTTCGAGAACATTTTTTTTCGGAAACATCAAGGAATACATAGTTATTCAGTCGGAAAAAAGTTCTATTCTTATTTTCGGAACACAGCGCACCACAAGATCTCACAGTTCTTAACGCTAGAGACCAGTGGGAAGACTCATGCTTGAGAATGGGACCGAGGGAGGGAGACACGGTCTAGTCCCCATCATTCACATTCGTTTTATTTGTACTTTTGCAGTAATTTTCACCACCTTGGTAACCACATGCGAACTAGGCAGAAATGGAGGCGGTTGGGGCTCAGTTGCTTGCTTCTTGAGGTAGAAGACCTTATTAAGGTGAAGCCCTAAGATTTGCATCTCGTTGTTTCGTCCTTATCTCATTAAATGAAGTCTGCATTTTAAGACGTTTCCATGAGTGGATTGATTTTTAGCACAAAAAATAATCACGTATATGTATTTGGCCATTTATCGGAAGAAACGGTGCTTTGGAACCATTTGGAAGTATGCGGTGAGTATAGACACTGCTTTTACATTCAAATCCAGCCCAGAAGGAGATCTTAACTGGCAATACTTGAAGTGGAAATGCCACTTGTCAAATAGGCAAAAATTGAAGCTGACATACGGAAGTCATTAATAACTTTGAAGAAAAAGTACCAACTATAGGGGATGGAATGGTGATGGCAATAAAGTGTAGCTATCTTGCCCAATGCGGTTTTTTCCTTTCTGATTAAGGTACTAGAAATCCAAAATTCTCAAATAAATTCCCCGTCAGCAGTTCTGAAATGTTCACACTATTTTGCATTGGGAAAAATCGAAAAAGTAGCATTCTCAAAGGAGAACAATAAAATTATTTGAGCTATTCACTCACTTCCAGCTTCTGCCACCAACTCCGGCAGAACACCGCCCCCTTCTCTTTGGTGCAATTCGCGCACAAGTTTTGTAGCCATCTTCATCCCAAGGAGTGACACCCACTGCGACAAACGTCACCAAACACATTCGATAAATTCGGAAAGAGTTTATTTGCACACAACTTCCATAAATGATGAAGGAGAAAAAGCTAAACAGTTGGACGCCGGGTGCATTGAGGCAGGAAGTATGTGTCGAAGTTCCAATAACGGCCGGAAAGGTTATTCCACGTCTTAGGGCTTCCCACCTCCTCTTTTACTAGAACTGGTGCGAAGTCGCATTGAAAGCCCAGTCTTCAAAGGGGGCGGAAACGAAAAAGGAAATTATTGAACTGCAATCGAAGATCTTGCCCGTTTTTGGCATTTAGTGTTATATTTAACCACAAGAATTTGAAGTACCTCCCCTTTTTCGACTCTGAAGTCTTTTTTGAGAGACAACATACTACAACAACCTTCTGCAAGTACCAGTAGTTGTTCACTTTTCAGCTCTTTTTCACCACCACAATAGAGGCAATTTTAACGCCACAATAGTGAATATTTCAAAAATGACTTATCTTTGAATACACCTGTTGGTCATCATAAAAAAGAGAACAACTGTGGATGCCCAAATTTACAGAAGCATCAGGACAACTACATCGATGAGTTAAATGCCAACTAGATACAAAGTTTTTAACAAAATCAAGTAGCAAAGCGATTCTCGAATCGAAAAAACCAAAGCAAACTGTCAATGGCGGAAATCACCTCGAATATCTAGGAGAAAAAAGTCCGAAATTCTATCAATACCTGAAGATCTAACATCTGACAGACAAATGGGCGAGGCAACGAAGCGGAGGTCTTCCCATGAAACAAACCACAGCCTTTAGAGGTACGAGAGGCCTCTAAGTCAAACCGAGCTTAAGTTGACATGTGCGCCAAAAAGGAGTTACCGTGACGACACTACACGCGGTGGTGTCAAGTGTGTCCTGTTATGCCCAAATAACTGGAGCACATTACCGTGCTTGGGTCAGTCTAGATATGGTTGAACCATGGCTAGTGACAGCGGGAGTGGCGATTGTAAATATGTGGATGAAATAGTGATGATGAAGTGTGGCACACTGATGGGGTGTCCAACCATTCGGTAGTGAGGCATTCAACTAGTGTAACCATTTCAAAGACGGCTGTACGTACATCTGTCGGCGATGGGCCCGACCGTGGTAGTCAGCCCTCAGTCCATAAGTCATACCTCGGGAAAGGACTTCAACGCTTGAGATGCCTGGTAATAGCCGAGCAACATTATCGAAGTTAGGCCAGACAAATCCCCCCTGGGAGAAATGGTGAGCACAAACATTTACAACTTGGAAGTCAGAGCCCAGTGGATATCATAGCCTGATTTGCTTTTGAATGATAAGAATTGAGTTTTAGCAGGAAAGTCTTGAGGTTTCTGAACCATATCATTACAAGCGACGAAAAAGGAGTGCATCATTTCTCTCCGGAATTAAAACGAACAACCAAATCAATGGAAGTATGCAGAATTTCCACCAAATACGAGGTGAAATGGGTTTCTCTAAGTTATCCATCTATACTGACACATCATTCTCTACCGGGACGGTTTTGGAGGCATTAATCAACCGCTGGTGGGATAAGCGTGCACATCTGGCAGGGAGAATCCGTGGAGGATAATTGCAATCTGCAGCGCCCGAAATTGGTTCTTTTAGTGTATAGTGTCGGCCCAAAAGTCCCGATCTGACTTGAACACCCAATGTAACATGGATAACTAAGAGTGAGAAGGAGCAATATGTACCCACGTTCTCTCCGCTTGCTTGTCAAAAAAACATGAAACAAAAAGGTCCCTACAAACCTCTCCAATCGCAATCTAGTAGTTTCACACGCCACACCATGGAAGAACACGCTGTCTGGACACATTCCATTGTAGTAGGAATAGCGGGCACGTGGATGCTGTGACATGATGCGCGGTAGATGGCGATGAAATTGAGAGAGATCGCGATCATCCTCCGCGTATGTGTCGAAGAAAACCCCATCGAAGGGCTCCAGTTTGCCCTCGGCGATTTCACGCTCCAGGCGAGGCACCACGTCCTGCCAACGACCTCGACGCACATGCACACCGCTGCGCTGGGTCCAGCCTGTGGCTTCCATCTTCTCGAGAACCTTGAATGCCAGGACGACGAAAGTATCATATGAAACAACCGGTTTGCCCACCAACTATAGAAGAATGGTATCTGCTTTGATTATATGATGGGTTTCCCAGACATTTTTGTTGTTTACAGATTCGGCTTTCACAATGGTGGCGAGAATAGAGACACCAGTTTCCTAGTTCCTTCATTTGCCTACAGAAAAGTTACTTCCAGTCTCATATACCTTTAACTGAGGAAAGACTTGGCCGAAGAAATCTCAATAAATCGTGCAAGATGCAGCAAAACAAATGGCTTAAATTTACTAGACTACCATTGCAATAAGCAAACTAGAAGTATGGGTAAATGAGGGCACCCACGTAACTCGTTTCTCAGCTTTTAACAGAACTACTTCTAGAAATCAGGAGTATTTTCAAGGCTACACAATTATCCAACTAACCTGTGGATGCGCCTCAATGATAGTATGAGACACAGGTGCATGACTAATAATTTCTTCGTCCACAATTCCCATTCCGAACCCGACGTTAAGTGTGTGAAGACTGCTAGGTCTTTTCGCAGTGTCCACATCGGCAAAACAGATCCACGCGGCGTGGCGGGCCATCAGCGGACGCTCCCAATCCATCATGACAGCGAGTTGGGTAGAAGTGTCCACTAGACGATCACCTGCTGGGGTGTATTCTAGACGGCTGGCCAGATAGGCGGCGTTTAAACGACTCGGAGTTGAACCATTTTCACTCACCTCTTTCTCCACGGTTGCTTTTAGCGAGGCCGCCTCCTCAGCAGTCTGGAATAAAGAAAGAATCAAGAAGGGGCACTCACAGATTGGATGGAATAACACAGAAAATGTGTCCTAGTTGTGAAATGAATAGATTTAAAGGAATAGGATAAATCCCGTTCACTTGCAAGGCAAAATTACGTCACTTGTATCAATTTAAAGTCCAAATTCGTGAAAATGTACCAGGGTTTATAGCTTCAATTGTAAAAGACAAGCTTTCCATCCTTCTCATGTAATTCAGCAACATATCATGTTTACGTCTAGCTCAATCCCAAATTCATGAACCTACGTCTACCGAAGTCTAGTTACAAAATAAGACCAAATATATTTGGCTATGCATGAGCCCATGAAATGCGATCAAAAGGGGCTGTATTTAATCACCGCTTACAGGAAGGTAGGATGGGATAACAGCACTGTCTTCGGACTCCACAATCGAGAGAATCATTTCAGACATGACCGCATGATCCATGATAATGTCTACAATGACCTGATGTCCATTCATCGCGGCGTAATCACCAGCACAACGGTATCGTCTGTCCACCGCGTTCCATGGGGCTCCCTCATCGAGAAGATAGCGAACAACCTCAGCGTGTCCTGCACCGGCAGCTGCCATAAGAACACTCATTCCGGTCTGTGAATCCTGTTATTATAATGATTGGTTGAAAGAGTCAAGTGAGAGGATTTTATTGGGAGATAAAGAATCAACTGACTTGAAAACAAATATCTCCATTGCCGGACTCATTGATAGATTTGATTTCCTCTAGGTCGCCGTCACCAGCAGCAACAACTAGGCGAATGTCCTCTCGAGTTGGCTCGTAGCCCATTTCAACATCGTTATCATCTTCGTGTTTGCGCTTGAGACTATTTTGACCCTCTTCTGGCACACTGGATTGATTAAACTGGGTCGAAGCCATCTGGTATGACCTGAAGAATTGAATGCGAACAAGGGGGGGGGGGTGAATTGCATTTAGAAGAATAATAGGAAAGGGTAGACGAGAGGCCCACTATCCACAACCAAGGATCTGTACTACTGCCTCAAAAATACTCATACAGTGGCGGTTTATTAATGGGAAACCACAAGTTTATTTAACAACAAAAGGCCTGGAGTTGCGCTCAACACTGCCCTGGTGTGTGATTAAGAAAGTGGATTTGTCGGTAAAAACCAACCTCTTTCAGCGTTTAAATTCCACAAAACTCCGTTTAATGCTTGTGAAATCTCATGCACATGGAAAACCCAAAACGGCAACAACAACCTTGAGTTTGAAAGGCATCCAGACCAAATAAAAAGATAAACAAGAAATTCATTTGTACTTATTGACCGACTTAATCGTGCAGAATTAGCGTAATTCTTGCTGATTTCCTTAGTGTTGTTATTCGCGTTTAATAAAATTTTGTTGACAGAAGTGTGTACACTCGAGTTAATTGCTGCACCAAATTGAACCCCTCCCCCACTGGTTATTTGTAACATACTTATTAATATCTAATGCTTTCTAGTTCTATGTGTAATTTAGGTTAGTATTGAGGTGTTGAATAATTGCACTTCTGGTTCCCATAAGAATCAAAATGTCGTAGGAATCTACGGACTTGTCAAGACCCAAATGTAATACGATGGTGGTTTATCCACCGGTATTAATGACCCCCCACCCCCGAACTTTTGAATTCGCCCTCTTGTACCTCACTGGATGGGCTGGCCTACGAGCCATGCCAATAGTCCAAGCACCTTTGCTGTGTCGAATACACATTCTGCCCGAATATTGTGTCTTCTTACGTCTCCACAATTTACCGTTGCATGCGTCATTCTGAACAATTACCCTTCTCCTCCAGGAGACCGATTGTCTCACTTAGCAAAATACTAACGACATAAGACTCCGACCGACTGCTCGGAACTCTAAACTTCGTTCCACTAGTCTCTACGGCATCAATTACCTCCCTTCTTCAACGACTTGTCACTGAATCAATAGGAGATCTCGACATAAGCTGTAGGTGGCGGAGACGAATCCGCCTACCTCCCTACTGGGATAAACATTTTGTGCTGACCAAACTTGTGGGCAATTATCCCACCCCCAAATACTTAGTTCACCAGGCTACTCAACTGACCCTGACAACTAAAACATGCTATGGACCTTACTAAGGTAAACACTTTGTAGTGGGAAACCATATTCTGTTTTAAAAAAAGATGTCGATAAAGGAAAAAGGACCGGTTTCTGTAAACTGGGATATCTATCCGAAAAGCCGAGATTTACCCATCAACTCTTGGCCTAAACGTGACCGAGGTTGGTAAATGTATCACTAATTCAATGAAGTCATGAAAGCAGGCACGTAACCACCAACAAAAAAAAGTGGAAATAAAAGGTAATTTCGCTCCTCCCCCTTTCATACAGTCTATTTATCATGAACGTTAAGAAGAAAAACGAAGCGATTCAGATGAAGGGAATGATACATGCATTTAGCTAAATTTGAAAGTCAGGATCCAATCTCTAAACGTCTCCAACGTCGTCAAAGATAGTGGAGAAATCATCATCACTGTCAAGAAGCGAGACCCTTAACGGTCCAGCGCCGGGCTGTTGACGATCATCCTTAACGGGTGTAGACACCTTGGTATAAATAAGAATGAGAGTCAATCTACCGCTTTACGATCCTCGAGACGATCGAGCATATTACCACACTCCACTAGCCTTTCAGCTTTGAAGGGAGTTCAAGTCAAATCGGGTCTTTTGATTCTATTGACACAAATTGGCCGCTGCTGTGGCGGACAGCTCGGAGTATCAAGGGCTTGGTGCATCCGGACACAATTTCCAACATCGAGCATGCATGTCACAGGTCAGTGGGATTCAGACACCGAGGTGAATTTGCAACAGCGGTACTGCTTGCAAGAATCCACATGGAACAGTATACGGCACTGGACTGAGTTTTATGTCAATCCACAAATATCTTTTTCAGATTGTCTCAAGCACAATGCGGTTCGGTGATGGGAAGCTCAGTTATGAGGAGTAAGACGGTGATAATAACTTCACAGCAGTTACTCTAGAAAAGCCTGATAGACTCATAACCCGAAGTGAGCTTGCAGAAGAGCCGAACCTTTCTGAACGAAAGATGAACATAGACGTTCATGAATAGCAAGTCAGGCAAGCAGTCTTTAATTTTACCTCCTCCAAAGTCCCGACCTGACTTGAATAACCTTTTTACCCATACAATAAAGCCATTTCTACAAGTCTACTTATCCATGTGGCTAGCTTATGAAAAACATTTCAATGGGGGCGGAACTTACAGTAGGCAAGGGGGAGTCCACTCTCTCGGACGTCTTTTGGGGCGATATTACCATGGCTTCAGCAGTCCTGGAGGAGCTTGGAGTCTTTTGCTTTCACAAAGTCAACAAGGCAAATTGTAGAATTATAAATAAATGCAAACTTTGCATAAACCTTATTCATCACTCTAAAAACGGGCATCTTACATCTGTGTGTACGTCTCTGCAAAACTCTAGTGATCAGTAGGGAAGTAGAAAAGAAGCAACCGTCTTAATGAATCAGCAGAAAACACAAACAAAAGAGGTATTTCTTTTATCAAGTTTAGTCAAAAGCCTTTGTCAAGGGTATTAGGAGACCAATAACAACGAGTTTCAGAGTGCGACATGGCTAGCTTACTAAGAGGCATAAGAAGATTGTTCAGTAAAATAAAAACTGCCACTACTAATCGAATGCAAATATGAAGAATACTGTGGCATTTCTGTAAAGAATCGACGGTAGTCTCTATTTGACTAGGAAAAAAGACTAGTGAAACCAAGCTCACGCTGGGAGCAAGAGCAGTTTCCAAAAGAGCCCTCTTCAAAGGCGACACCACCTTGCGTTTGACATTGGGAGTTGAGGGAACCCTCTCCTGGAAAAAGACCAAGAATGCGATGACAGGAATGAAAATGAACTATTTTGGATAAGTAACTACTTGAGTAACATTGATTTGAAAAAGAGACCAATTCAATGGGGAGAGAAAGAGCAGATTGCTTGCTCCACTTTGTGACCTCGGAAAAAAGCCAGCAGCAGCATTGAAATTCGGTCGGTGTAGCAAGTAAATTAAACCCTACCAGGCGAACTGGCGAGTTCTTTACTGAAGTCACCGAAGGTGAAGTAACAGCAGAAGTTGTAGCAACCGTCTCCTATGTACAAAGGAACGATGGGCATCAATTAGTCACTTGTCAAAATGACCAGAAAAGAAACTGACAAAAAGCAGTAAATCCGCTAATGAAGAAGCCCTGCTTAAAAAACAAAGTTCTATTCACTTTAAAGTAGAGAAATAAGTTTATTTGATTGAACAATAAAAAGCAATCATAAAAAAGGACTCCAACATATTTGTCCTTTTGCACAAACATCATAACAATCAGCATCCCCCAATAAGACACAATTCTGCTGAGCATTCCAATCTTATACGACGCCTTGACTCTAAAAGCCAAAACACCCAGCCCCAACTACCACCATTTGGATCGCACTTTTATTTACCAAATACCCATTCTATTTGACACGTCAACATCTGGTTGTCCAATGGTTCGAAAAGGTGGCTATAGACATTCAGACGAATATGAATCCAGTGAATACAGAAGAAAGCAGCACTTCTACTCCATCCTCACACATGATGTAACGCCTTCTCACAGACGTGCAGCGTAATATGTGCAATACTGTTTTAGCAGTTCCGGACACTGCTCCAAAAGACTTTTTCCTTGCACACTTTCAAATTGTACACTACTGAGCAGGTAGATCCCGATCACATTTGTTAGCTATGCAGTCTGTGAACTATTCCCAGTAAACAGCTGCTTCCGCAATGCACAACACACACAAGGAGCAGACATAGTCACCCACTTATGTCTTAATGCGGATTTTGGATGTGTAAGACGGAACGCTAATGAATTATTCGGGGATAACCACAACTGGGTTCGTCGGTGTAACACGGAGTCATTTCCCATCACATACATCTGTCACGTCTACTACAGCTATTTTTAGCTCATCCACAATATTAGCCAACCTAGTTTCAATTGAAGCAGATTTCATGTCAGGAGGAGACCAGTTACCTGTGGCAAGAATCTTGGAAACTCTAAATAGAACAAACTTCACGAGGTGCTTTACACCTTATTCACTAGTAATCCGCTTCCATTCAAATACTTCACCTGTCCATGTTTCAAGCTGTCTAGAATAAAAGCTACAACCTGAAATAGCGCAACTATGATACTCTATTAAGAGTCGCGATGATATTTAGGAATATAGAGGTATTTATTGATAGGTTGTAAAATGAAAGCGGGGGTAAACATACCGCACGAGCGAAGTAGGTCTTTAGGGGTGACACTGTAAAAGACTTTTCCTAAGAACCAAATAAGAAGTGTTAGAAGAGTTCAAGCTTGACCAAATACGGCCACATCATGGATAATATGCCAAAAAAGTGACAGCCAAAATGTCACTTAAGGCAAATTCATGCAAGAGCTATACAAACAAAATACATACAAGCGATTTCTTTGCATTTTTTACTTTTTGTCGTGCGCTTCGCTTCACTAACTGCAATTCCATGTTGTCGTCTGCGTCAGCAGCATCATCAAATGTTGCCAATTTTTCATTCAAAAACTTGCGCTAAAAATTTGGTGAGGTATAACCATAGGAAAAGAAGAAACTTTGAAACCAAATTTACTAATTGAGGATTACGACGAGCGAAAAGAAGGACGTCGTCCTGATTGATCGTAGACCTTTTGGCGTGGTGGGCGAATGATTCCAAGTCAGTAGTAAGCATTTGAGCGAAGCGAAAAGCAGTTTCCGTGACTAAAGAAGCGATCTCGTCAGGAATATGGACTCCTGAACGATCACTCACTACTTTGGCGCGGGCGATGCATTCGTAGTGCAGAGCTGATAAGTGTTCTGGCTATTAAAAAAACATAAATAATGCATGGGGATTCGGAAATTCTAAGATGAAGGTATGGATAAAGTCACATGCCTTGGATTCAAGATTTGATCCCAAATTAGCCATAACTTCCCCAAAAACAATGCAATCGATCAATCAACTAAAGTTGTCAGCACAGACACACAATTAGATAGCTTTAAAAGAGGCCGTCGGGCGCAGCCTTGACTATATGAAAACAATAACTGTGGTACTTACCCAAAAAATACACGAAAAATCTGAACGCTATGAATCAATTGTTATAGCTTTAAGCAGAAATTTAATGGACATCCTAGCGAATTATATAATAAGTAATTTTTAAGTCGCGGCTTCTTATTATTATTAAACGTTACTTTTTTATGTAGGCTTTTCAAATTGTGCCTAACAACATCTATTTGTGGTTGTTTTTTCTAAATGTGCAGCACATGCCTCAATCGAAAACGGTAGTTAAAGAAAAGCGGATTCTTCAATCGGGGTGTGTCAATTTTGCACTTCATCGCTGGAACCCTTGAATATTTGGCCTGGGGTGCGATGCAGTGGAGTGAATTAAGGCGTCAGGCCAAAGCTCTCGAAAGTGAACTAGATTTGAAACTTACCGAGTTTGGCAAAGTTGGTAGTTCCTCCCTCAGCGGTAGTGTTGTTACTCGTACACCTCACATAACGCAGTCTTCCAGTAGTCAAAGCTACAGCGATCTTTGCAACGATATTGAAGACTTGTTGCAGAGGTACGGACACTTTTGAAAGCTCTGTTTTTGTGTTTGGTTCGTTTTTGCGCGCAAACATCTACCAGATATAGCTTAATCTCCATTAGCGTATTATGAGTCACTAAAGCTGCGTGCCTTTGGACTTTTCTTGTTCTCAGGTATGCGAAGTCAAGTTTCTGATGCATATTTTATAAAGTATATTGCTGTAGCTTATTCAAAATACTTTGCAAAGTAGTGTTGCGTCTTTGGGCTCTTGGGTATTAGCTGCCTTTTAATTGGCAATGACTTTAAGTATCTTTTTCTCAAGTTAATGGGTGTCTTATCTTGAGGCTCTTTTTATTTTGATCCCGAAATAAGCGATTGTTACACTTTAGTTGAACCATGGGATATACGGTTGTTTTATTTTTTAAACTCTTTTCCAACTAACGTCACTTTTCAACCCTCTTAATATGATATCATATTATTTGTGAATGCAAACCCATCCCTCCTCAGATTGACACAGGTCAACGATAAGATGGGTGACGTTGTCTCCAGTGCAGACCACGGGAACATCAGTCAACAGCACATCGCAAAGCGTCATCGTGAAATCCTCTTCGACTATTCACAGGACTTTAAACGCATGCGAACTAACTTTAACAACGCACGCAACCGCGACTATCTTCTCTCGTCGGTACGTCCGTTCTCTTTTGTTTGTCGAACAATCACTTTTGTTGATGGGAAATAAGTAAATGGTGTTTTTTAGACGTACAGATCTCAGAACGCACCTCAGGGTGATAAACCACCTGAGGCCACGAGGCTTTTGATTGAGGAACAAAAGAGCTTGCTCCACACGGATAAAATGTTGACAGATCGACTTTCGGCGGCTTCGGCGATCCGCTCAGCATTGAAGTCACAGCACCACATGCTCAAAGCCACCACGGGTAATCTGTTGAATCTAAGGGCTCAATTTCCCCTCGTCAATAAGGTCTTGAATCAGGTGTCATGGCGCAAGAAACGGGATTCGATTATCGTTGGGTCGGTGATTGGTTGTTGCCTGCTCTTTCTACTCTTCTATCTTTTCCATTGAAGGCTGCTCCTTGGAATTTTCCTTTCTTTTTCTCCCTACCATCTTCGTCCCATTAAAAAACTGCTCTTTTACTTGATTTTTTTGTGGCAATTGTTTGTTTTAACAAAAATGGATAGTAATTATGCAAAAAGGTGTGCGACTTTGCAGTTTGTAAGATGTGTTCAAAGTCTACTAGTCGACGACAGGGTGAAATTATAGGGGAACAACAGTTTACGTCTGTACCGTCATCCCTTTCGTGCTATTAAATTTTATTTCCGCGCTTCCTTAAGCTTGTCATTTTGTAGCATAATTATTGGGTAGTGTTTCGGAATTTTATAAGGATAATGTTTTGCCTGCAACTTTACGATCTTTTAATAGGTTCGTTGGTCTCATAGGATAAGTCTTTTGCATTTCTGGAGAGAATTTTAGTGAACTATAGTGTCTGGACCTTTTTTGAAGGCATCGTACAATTCGTGATTTTGAGAAAAAAATTGTGGAAGGCCTAGCGAGCTGTTAACGGAATCGTGGCAGTATGGTGTTTGCTCGAAGGCCACATTTAATTGCGCAGACTCCGTAGTCTCGGCGGTTTCGAGCACCATCGTGGTGTCAAGGCAGTCCATCCACGCTTACAGTTTCCCAGCCCTTCTGTGGGTTAATAGTTTACCTCTTGTGTTGCTAACGCCTTGCTACGCCCTCAGATATGATTTGTGACGATGTAGATAGTTACGATACCACTTCAACGCCCAGAACCTCCGAAGACTGGGCGTCTATGTGGACGCAACATCCTTCACTTTCTTTGGATTTTGATTCCTGACACCCCATGGTTACTCTTTTACATCGGGGATTTAAAAACTAGTCATGAGCCAAGATCGAAGGTCATACATCGAGGCTAGGGGATATTAGATCGTACCATCGATGCTGCATCTCATCGATTCAGATGGGCCAGGACTTGTGTCCTCGTCGATAGCTGCGTTCCAGGGGCTCACTAACCTTTCACTGCCCAGGTTGACATGGTGCTTGGAAGGTGCATGAGTCGGGACATAACCTAGTTATAGAGACGTTTACGCCTAGATTTTAACAAAGAATTGGATAACATCACCAAATCGCCAAGGTTGTCCTTTCAATGGTTTACTATTTACTTGAATCAAAATTCGCTATTAAGGTTTATAAACCATTAAAGCGTCTGAAGAATGTAGATTTTTTGCAGGTGAAAAATCATTGATAGACTGGTGCCCTTTTTTTGCACCGTTAACTGTTCCTAGAAGGAGGTTGTAAAGTAAGGCATAAAAACTCCTAACATCCTAAGGTCGTTAAAAGGCGGTTAAGTTAAAAGAGAGCTAAGTTAACTGAGTGGTGATGGGCTATTCTGATAATATTCTGCTAGAGAAGTTGGTAGTGAAAACTACCGACTGAAGCCCTTATTTTGGATGTTGACTTACAACTCCGAAAAGGAGTAAGTATTCAGCGTAAGTTACACCCTTTTAGGAATTTTTCTTTGCAAAAACGCTCTATTGTCAGGGTGTTGGGAGGCATAATGGACTTCGGTCAAGTGCCTTCGCCTGGTTTCTGTAGACAATGATGTGGTGACAATAAGGTTAAAATATTTACAATCAAGGGGTGCTGGTGCAGGTGGCGGAAAAGAAGCTGGTCTCACTTTGGCTAAAAAGCAATTTTAAAATTTAGTCGAAACAACCATAATCTACTAAATAGAGACACAATGGGGTGGGAATTCTTTTCACCTGAATTGAAAAGGCGCCGTATTTGTTTTCGGGGGAATAACAGACGATTGGTTTGCAAAAACAAATAAATACCTTTCTCAAACAACTTGCTCGTAAACTTAGAAGCTAATTCAACTTTCATAGGTAAAAATTACTGTCTTATATTTACTCTAACTAAAAAGAGTTTTCTTATTTAGCGTCAATCAAGTGTATCACTTGGGTGTACATACAAAAGAATCAAATTCCCGCTTCGTTGTCTTTTAGAAGTTCTTTATTTGCTTTAAACTTGGATGTTTGTAAAATGCTTTAAATGCGAGCTTTGACTTGTGTTTGTCCTACGAATTTGTGCGGCGGTTCGATACTTTTTTTTACCACATTCTTACCATACCGGATCATCACTCTTGCGGTCCTTCTTTGTGTTCCGTAGATTCGCAGAGCCTCGAGTCTTTCCTGAAGTCCTGCTAACCCCAAGTAGTGGCAAGCCATACTACTTACTAACGCGGCGAAGCCCTAGACGGCTATTGGCACTGTGGGAGAGTGAAGTGTTCGGCTAGTTAAACAAAGCATCCACTCGCTCCAACTAGTGAGTGTTAGTCCTTGACCTAGGAAGACTCGAGGTGTCGCGATTACCCAACTTAGCCATTGCACATTTGTAGTCGTCCACACAATTCCTTGGTTGACGCCCATAAGTTGGTCATCATTTCAAGGCTATTGGGGGATTCATTTCCACTTTGTTGCAAATTATCTTTTCTTTAAAAATACCCCTAAAAAAAGGCACACGATTTTTTTCTTTTGTTATCATCTTAATTGAGCCGTAAAATTTTGGACTCACCCCCTCGTTCAATGTAAAAAGAATTATTCATGACATTTTGTTTTCGACGTTGTCGGAAATTGGCATTCTACTGTACACATTTATGGGACATTTTTGCCACTTTATGCCACGCCCTTATCTGCGTGTGCTTAACTTCGACGTCAAAGAAAGATCTTAGCCGTCGCCAACCCCTACCTACGGGGTTGTTTGGAGGCAACCAAATTAGATTATGTTGGGGGGAGGTTAGCCGGCGTCGCTTATTCCTTAGTTGGTTTGCTACGGTGATGTGTTGGCATTTGTAAGAGGCCTGTCAAGAGTATACGAATATCTGCGTTCAGGAATCGATGTGCCTTGGTCTACAACTGCCTTAATGTGCTCAACGGTGAACTTGACGAACGTGATTCCAGCTTATCTGCTTCAAGAAAGGAGCTTATCTTGATTCCTAGGCTAGAGAAGAGGCTTTCAGTGGTGTGTGTAGCACCACCGGGTAAAAGTAGTCACACGACAAGCTTCTGGCGTCAGTAATACTAGGCTGACATCCCGCCTGCCCAAACAAAATCAAACTATGCAAGTTTTTTCATTAAAAATAAAACAGTTTCTCTTTCTTCAGTTCTCATTAGTGAGAAAAGGCTCTTTAATGTTTGTCGTTCATTTCCTCATCTTTTCTCTGCTCACGTGGCGCTTAAAAGGAGGGACTGTCAGAGTGTTGGAATGTCAGCTGCTGGAAAAAAGACGGCAGTTATTCGTTTTTCGAGTAAATTTTCTCCTCCTTATAAAACACTATAAAATGTGCATAATCATATTATTAGTGCCACGTAAGGATGCTGGTGTATAGGCCCGAATTAGGTGAAAATAAACTTTGCCGAATTTCACCACCCCTTTTGAGAACGCCAGCACCTGTAAACCCCAAACCTCCTGTCTACGGCGAAGTATTCCTGCTACCTCGGGTCAGGAGTAGGGTGAGGTTGGAGCTGAAGGGAAGACAGTGGATGAGGTGAAAGTCACCGCCTAATGGGCAAAACGCCTACCTCAGACTACTACCTGATACTACTTTGGTAGCCTGAATAGATCATTGGAACTAAGACAGAAATAAAGTTGAATGCTAGAATTGAATAAAGTAGGAAGAGAAAGATGATGGTCTTCTTAAAAATTGACTGCTTACATAGTCACAAAAAAGTCGGCCAGGATCAATGCGTCGGCACAGTGTCAAATTCAACGCGATGCGACGTCATTGGATTAAAACCACTTTTGGTGAACATTCAATGGATTTTTCACGAATCCAGTGACCACTAAGCAACGATTCAATGGAGTTGCCTTCTTCACAATCACACTTGACCATCCAGCTGACAGGCACACACACACACACACACACACATATACTTCAACGAGCCTAAGTCTGCCGTAAACCGACGTGTGGGCACATCTGATGCTTGCATTCAGCACCTCTACACCTTGTTTAAGTTGACACACTTAAAAATGAGTAACTACGATAGCAAAAACCTTTCCGCAATGCCCAACGCCTCACTGGGAAATCGAACACTACATGAAATCCATTCCCTGCCTTGATCACTCCCTCATCCCTAATGTGCCCCACAAAGAAGGCGCCCAATTATTGCATACTTTTTAATAGTCAGGATTCCATAGGCAAAAGATACATCCCTTGTCGTTAATGCTAAGCGCAAAATAAGGGATATACATGTAGACTAAAAAAAAGCTAATTGCAGAAGGACATCGAGACACACTATATCCCAAAGCCCATCAAACCCGAGCATAGAGAACATATCAAAGGGGGTGAAAGTCTAATCAGTGGAATGTGTCTTGTCCGGGGTCAATGGAACACCGGCCAGTTCGGCCAACCATTCGGCCAATCCCTGGGATTCGCGACCGCGATAAATAAAGAAGATGGTCATGGCGACAACGTACAATTGCACTACCCAATGGCACCAGAGGACAGTTATACTGAAGGCCAAAAAGATGAGCCAATAGGCAAGCACGGCGCAAGCTCCGGGTGACCATTGGTCGTCGCTACCGGAGATGACTGCGCCCTCACGACTGATTTCAGGGCCGGGGAAACGACGATCGTCTGGCGGGAGAGCTAGAGGGAGAAGAAGGCCAATGGTTAAGGCGTACCAAGCTGAACTGTGACATTATTTGAGACTGAACCAACAAAAAGGCTGGCTAGGCGAGGAAACAGATAAACGGCTTTTGGGATCCATGAGAAATTTATTATTTGAGAAAAATGTTTTTACTATTGACTTTTTAGATAAAATTAATATCCTGGTCACACGGGCTGAGGAGAACACGCTTCTAGTTGGTGGGAGGAGGAAACCAATCCCACATCGGTTTTACTTTCTGACAAGGTGGAAGCAGGCAAGTCGTAGTTTTGGCAATCAAAAGTAGAAGTCTTGACCCACCATAATAGTCCTTCAGCATCTGCTCCTTCTCTGCCCACCGTTCTTGTACCCAACGCGCCAGCGGGCTGGTGTTTATGGTGCTGCCATTGTTGGTGACTAGGGCCGCATCAGTTGGTCGAGGCAGCTGGTGGGCCGGCCAACGGCGTACGTGGAAGTGCACCTCCTGAGGACAATGGCCCGTAGCCATTCGCAGCTCCGACTCGGTCAGGGCATAGGGATAAGCCACCGTTACGTCGTACACGTAGGCAAGCTCTATAATGATCAAGTCAATTAAAATTACCTCAGGTTAAATGAGAGCTTTCCCCATTGGGCATACATGGATTGGTAGGGTTAGAACGCAGCGGTTTTTCTTTAAAAAGGGCCTTAAGCTGTCCCATCGTAAGCTGGTTCCACAGCATGGGCCAATTCCTGACAGAAAAAAACGCAATTAGAGATTAATCCCCTCCCAAGAGATAGTGGCTCCCGCTGAATGCATAACTCCATAAAAACCTAAAGGGTTTCAGAACAGAGTTTGTTTCAAAACAAAGTTTCCTACTCACAAAACGATACGGACTCATTTGAAGCAAAATTAATTTCCGTCTGAGATGAAATAGTTCAGCATGTGCTTGACCTCATGCCAGCGATTCCACCATTTCGCCTCAACAGCATATTTAGAGAATGATTACGGGAGATCTTGGGGAGACGTTATCGACATTTTAAATTAACCTTAAAAATGAGGGAAAGGAAAGAAAAAGAAGAGGGGGAGGAAGAAGGGTATTAGAAATTCATCAATTTGTGTACCGAGTTCTTTCTGGCAAGTAGAAATACATGATTTTCACCCTGGGATAAAGATAAGCACGAAATTGCTAAGCGAATTCCACCAAAGAAGAAGGAACAAGATTTTGCCACAAGCTGTAAATTGTGGATGGAATGTGAAGGTGTAGGGAAAACAAATTCAGCTTTGTTGGCATTTGCGCTCAATGTGGGGGATACATAGTCCCCCTGTAGAGTCACCCATAAGCGGATGGATGCAGGGGACCTCGAACATCCAATTGCCCACGGAGGGAGGGAATCATGGAACTGCTCTGCACAGTTGGATCTACCCATGCTACTCTGATTCTTTGCATCTCTAGGGTCAGTAATGTGTGTATACCTGAGCAACTACCGACGCGATTCAGCTATTAATTTGTGTGCTAAAAAGTGGAGTAACGATATAGAAAATTAATGCAATTGTGAAGACCCAACTCACAAAATCCATTTGATGCACAAGTCCTATAACGCATTTCACAAATGCCAATTTCGTGACAGTCTGACTAAAGCTTATTAAAGTCAAATCTCTTAGTGGCTGGCCTACTGCTATTACCTGAAAGATTCGTTAGAATGTTTACAAAGTGCTCAAGAAGGATAGCTTAATTTCAAGTCAACAGATGGTGGCTTCAAAAACTGATTTCAAAATAGGACTACTTAACTGGACGAGTGAAAAACTGTCTAATGAACAAATAACATAGCATGTTTTATAGGACCCAATCAGAATATTTAAATCGGTTCTATTAAAAAGTGCCTTGGAGAAGAGACACACAGACGTACCGGATCCAAGGGCTCGAGCAAAGGTTTCAAAACCCGTAGTGTGAGGATGCAGAGTGTAGCGGTAGCGCGGGAGACCCGCTTTAGCCGCGAAAACATCGCTCTTCTTCAGTCCATAAACACTGAGATCAGTACCCTCAGGAAAGAGAAGAATCTGAAAGAGAAGAACCAACTCAAGAGGCAAATAATGTAGATGAGTGGTAGTGCAGTCATTCAAGTCACTTACATGAGCGCTACCCTGAAGACGCAGAAGGTACTCCACAGCCTGCTGAATGCGCGCCAAATCGACAGCAATACGACGCCGAAGAAAGATGAACCCATCCATTTGCATGGCCCATCCCACTCCTGGGAGGTTGGAGAGTTCGCGCTTGAGTACAACCTTGAGGTGGCGTGCGTAGCGGCCCAGGGAGAAGGCGAAGATCCAATCAAGACGAGTGCGATGGTTCAGGATAAGCAGACTAGACGTGCCCGTCGATGTTGACTCTACCGCCTCTGTGATGACAGAGGAGGGGAGAACAAAATCGTCACCAAAGAGGCGGATTTGAATTCGTAGAATGCCACAGAGAAGGACCTGAGAAGGTTTACATAAGCCAGTAGTCGAATTGAGATTTCCGATAATCTGATAGTCGATGTAACATTCAAAAACGAAGGTATTCTCCGATCTAAAAGCAATTTCAAGGACTGCAAAACTTAGAAGCGCCTTTCATGAACATTTTCATGCCAATCCCTCTCCAGACTAAAGGTGATCCATTCGATGAAATCGCTAAATTCTGAAGAAACGATGAAAAATTCACCAAAATTAATCTCCCACAGTCATACTATCAATGAAAAGCTAAAATACCCACTGATTGACATGGAGTCGATGATGCCAACGCTAACCAAGTGAATTTATTGGTCGTTGGAAGTGACAATCGCTAACCCAGTGACATGACCGCAGAAGGCGGTAGGCAGCAGTAGGCATTTCAACAGGCTTAATCAAAAAAGGCTTGATTATCATAGCACAAAGTACATTTTGGCCGATATTATTATCAGCTGTCTACTTTCTACCCTTATTTGATAAACAAAGCACCATGCCATGACCGCATAAACAAATCAAATCAATAAAATTACTTGCCAAAATGATAATTAGTAAGATAAAGTGGAAAAAAGTCCAATAAAAATGAAAAAACCACTTATTTTACGAATATAATTACCACGAATCAAACTACCACAAAAATTATGGACTTTCTGACGAATTAAATTATAATAATTAGTAATCTTCTTTGTTATTTTGGCAATATCTAAAGCCAATGAAACGAAAAAAATGAAAAATTCGAAAAAATTGACATTCAACTGAGTTTTCACCGGATGTAAAATAAATCAATAAACATGCTAGCGGGTTGATCAGCTGACCGTGGGGCCCAAAAATCGATAGGACTACCAGGCGCCGCAAAATCAATAAAATTGGCGGCAATGACAACCAATAAGCGGTCAGCTGTTCAAAGTACGCCGTAGTTTGGCTGCCAACGCGTCAAATTTTAAAATTTTCATCAAAAAATCCCTAAACTTAGCCCCAGCAATTGGGGAGCTAATCGTCGCCCCTCCTAAGCAGTCAAGTAAGGTGAACAAAGGTGGGGAAAAAAAGAGGGCGAAATAATCACCTCACTGAGCATACACCACATTCGGACACCGCAATCCATGAGAAGAAGGAAGAAGGAGGGAGTGAGGTAGGCAAGGGGTAGGAGGGGAGCCATCATGAAGATGACACCGAAAAAGCCCGTCAATATGAGCACTAGAAAGCAGAGAACACACCGGACACGCTGACGTTTGGTCACCAGATAGGCCGGCGCTACTGGCTGCGGAATCGGATCAGTTTCAAGCTAAAAAGATAAACGACATTTCTTGATAACAAGAAAAAAAAGGTGAAAAAAGCAGCAGTTGTCACATAAAGTGGGAAAATTAAGGGAATAGATAGAATTGTCGCAAGAACTCAATCAAAAACGCCGGCGCTAGTGTGTTGCGTCGATTAATGACAATTTAAGATTAGAATATTTCTGGAGGAATCGTAATTCCGAGATTAGAAGGTCGATTCCCAGACGCATCTCCCAGCCACATCAGCTACTATTCTGCTTAAATTGGTGTAAATTCTGCCGGAAAATCTTCAAGTTTTTTTATTTTAGCCTTAGAAATAAGAATCTGTCCCTCAAAGACAAACATGGGGTGTATCAAGTACTAATGACCAATTTCCGATTGTTTTATTTGTCAACTCCCGTGATCTGATCGGTCGTCAATAGTCTTGATTGAGTTCAACTGAAACTGGTTACCATCTCGATGTACAGGCCTTGGAAACGGCAATTTTTCTGTTCAATCAAAGTCAATAGAACACCTGCTCCTAGGACTATCCGTCAAGTTTAATTTTTTTGGAAAAAACAGATTTTTCACCAGAAATAACTAGGTTAATAATCAACTCCCGAATATGTTGCAAAATCTGACATAAGGTCTCTGGCTGGAAAACCAAGTTACCTTTTATAAATGGCACGATTCGAGAGATCAAATAACCCAGAGTAACAATTATGGCGCCACCAAAAAGGCCGTATCATGTGTCCCACACGTAGTAATCATCGCCACCATAGTCCTACCGTATTTTACCCTCAATGGCAAACTTTTAACCAAATAGTTCGACCCTACGATGAAGTCTGATGGCGTCTCTTCAGCGGACAGAAGCAAAAAGTAGACGAATTGTTTTTAATAATTAAGCATCCACCATTCCGCCAAGTGTCAAAAGTTATCAGTACTGAGAGTAAGTCCATGCGCATGAATCAACGACGATTTCACCAACGCAAAGATATGGAAGGAAAGCAGTAGAGTTCAGTAAAGGCCATGCCAACACCTGAAAAAGAATTTTAATTTTCGATAGTGCATTTGGAGGACTTAGAACTGCATCTGGAAACATTTTAGCATTCATTCCTAGACTTTTACCTCAAGATGGATGACATAACAATAGCCAAACAGCGAACAATTTACTACTTCAAATAACAGGAAGAACTGACATAATTATGTGGTTGAAGGAAGTGACGGTCGGTCACGAACCACCAAGCAAGCGTAATGAATGCTTGTTTGAGTCCACCCTTCAGGTGCCAAGTTGGCGAGCTAGATGAACCTCGTGACTGAGCTGATGGCACCGTTCCCCAAAAAAAAGACGATCTCTCTGTGATTAACCATAAACTTTGATTATTTATAAAACCTCAACATTACATAGTACAAGATTTCTATCTCCAAACATTCTACTCCATCGAAAGATGTCGAACTGAGAGGTAGAAGAGCGAAACAGTGAAAGTATGCCACACTATCGAAATTGAATTCCATAATTCATCTTGACTTGAAGAAAATAACTCAGTATTTGTCATCGAAAAACACGAGCGAAAGAGTTTTCAAAAGTGCAATAAAAGATTAAATTGAACAAATGAACAACTAGGGATGCGGGAATTCTCGACCAATTACCTACAAATAATAACTACGCAGTTCCCCTTAAGGTCTGAAGATGAGATCCCTCAACCTAAACATTTCATGGTTTCCTGAAACTTGACTAGTAAAGTTCAGCCAAGTAGTACGTGTTGCTTAAGTTCCAAACAGTTTTGTAGCGCCGAAATCCCCAGGATGAACATCCGAAAAGTATGGAATATATATCTTTTAAAAAGGGTGACCTTAACAACTCCAGTCAATTAAACCTAAAATGCCCTTTGGGAATGAGAAGGGAAGGTAAACAGAACCGATAGCATTCCATATCATTGTTACCATGAGAGACAATATAAAGTTAGCTGCATTCGAGCGATGAAGAAGACGAAATCGGCCACGGAAGTAGACAGCAGATTTAATGCCAAAAACTCCTACAGGTGGGTTATAATTATAAGATGTGGGACAGGTTATCCCTACTTAATGTGGGTACTTGAAAACGGTGAAGATGGAGAGGAGGATGGAAAAGAACCCGCTAACAGGAAAGCATAGGCATTTCCCTGTTATTTTTTGCTAAGATCATGAGCAAAAGTAAAGGCAGAATTAAAGGAAGCAACAAAATCCCCCTTTTGGCAAAGTGTACATTACATATCTGTTATAAATCTGAAATCTGCTAAACGATAAGCAGAAGCTTCAGATCATTTCCATCTGATTAAAAAGAGGAGATTAGAGGAAGAGAGGAACCACCAGCTGTTAAACACACACAAGCCGAAAATTGGGGGGGGAAGACGTAACAGCCAAAGAATGAAAGGCTCTACAGCTCATACTTTTTATTATTCACAAACATTACCGTGAGATGGAGGCAGCACAATGATCATTACTTGGAAGGTTTGTGAACAGGGGCACAGTCAAATTTTCCACGGACGATTTTGTGCTTCACACCAATAAGGTCTTGGCATCGCCCTCCACGCACTAGCACGATGTTGTGCTCCTGGAGGTTGTGCCCCTCGCCCGGCACGTAGGCGACCACCTCACGACCGTTGCTAAGACGCACTTTGACGCACTTGCGGTTTGCACTGTTGGGCTTCTTGGGCTTGCGGATGAGAGTCTTTAACACTATGCCCTACAAGAAAAGATCCCAAAAGAATTAGAACAGTAAGTGTCTATAGAATCTTACTAATGTTAGTATCCATCTAAGTCAAAAGGGGGTTTGTATCATGCCTATTCTTATCTGAACCCCGTGTCCCAAATGTCCGACAGATAGTCTATAAGTTTATAAAAAGCTAGATGTAATAAATTGTGCTATAAACGAATTGATTTAGCTTAAAACATCAAGGGAGACGTTAATGCTACCTGAAGACAGGTATATTTCTTAGCCTTCGAGCAATACAACATTAAGTAGAAAACGCCTTTTGCAAGGCTGCACTGGTCTACTTCCCCCCCAGACCTTAGCAAATAACTGCATGAAGTTCTGCTTCACCCCACCAGTCTCTGGTGCCTTAGTCCTTAAACGACTAAGGCGTTGTATAGATGATACTGTGCCTCAAAAATAACAGTGGTACATCCACTTCCTTGAGTTTCTTAAAATCTGATAGTAACGCCGAGAGAGAGCTGGGTGTTCTTAAAAGGACAGCGAAAGGTGAAAAGAATATGGACGAAGGAAGAAACTGGTTCTGAAGAAATATTATTTATACAGGTTCGAGCTGGTCCGTACAGGGTAGATTGACAACCTAAGTGCTTACAGCCCATCGCACACAATCATGCGGGAAAAGCATTGTCTCCTGCTGAGGAGGTGTTGCCTGACCCAAAGATGTAGACTGGGCGGTGTGTCGATCGCTTGGAAATAAACATTGGCGTGTTATTCACTTAACGTTACGCCACAAAAACCTTCTCTCATTCCAAGTCAGTAGGTAAACAAACTAAAATATGTATCAGCATACGTCAAGTGAAAAATACATGTGTGGGCCTTCAGGTTCATCATGATCTGTTGTTATTAATGGGATGCTTTTCCTTAGCTTGAAAGGCCTCTAGCAGTTAGTATATGTGTAAACAAACAGTTATATTAATCAAGTTAAGCAATGCTGAAAGTTGTTCTTGAAACGTTCATCTCAATCCACTTTAATCAACAGTGACGCGCAATGCCTCGCCGCCAAGAGTAGCAGACCTTCCTAAACATGTTACATCTTTGGATGATTTTAAGCAGAGAGGATTTAGCTAACTTGACTTTTGCCACCCTAGTAAACACGAAGTGTATTGACTCCATTGAAGTAAATTCTTTTACCTCAGATTACCAAGGGAAAAGGCAACAAACTAGCCCGTTACAACATTAACCCTAGAATAAGAAGCACTTTTACCGGAACAGAGAATCATGACATGATGCTTCAAAGAGGCCCCAGGCCCAAATGGATCTGTTCATTGCACTTGCAGACAGGAGATTCATAGCAAACCTGATACCCATGGGAAAAAAAACTCATGGTAAAATGGAAGAGAAGAATTCCGCCAAGGCTGATTGCATCGTACGCAACTGAAACCAACCAACCATCCGAACAACTGCTATCAAACCGGTAAAACCAACCACCCAATGCCAGATCCTATTAGGGCTTTGATGAGATTCACTTCTTTGCAGATGATGGGTTGGTGATGAACCTTGGCACAGCATGCCATGACTCCACTAGGGTAGGGGGGATTATCACTACAATGCCCCACTGGGGTCAAATCAGATTGGATCAAAATAACTAGATGTTATTGTTTGGAATTACTTTGACAAATAATAAGAGTTTTCAACATATCACAATGGTTGGTTTCATCAACTCTGCAAAATAGTACACCAAATACCTCAGTGTTGGTCAACAACATATCAACATGGAATTATTCTTCCAGCGTTAAAACCGGCCTTATAGTTACAATAAAAAGAACACTCACTACCGTCTTCTGTCAAAATAAAAAAAATGAAGAATGAGAATACTAGGGGCTCTGGCAACATAAAATACCATTCCGAAAGGCCTTGCATTTAGGCCATTATTGACAGAAAAGGTGGTGTGTTATCATAGTCCATCGTTAAAATGGTATCAGCTTCCATGAGAAGCTCCAGGATATAGGTAAAGTGGTAGTAATGGGTTGTAGAAGGCTATTTATTTTTTACCGCACTTACTACTCAGTGAGAGGCTTGTCAGGGTCTAGTGAACCAGCCTTTAGTCATGCCATCCATTGCTTTTGCAGGTCTAGGCTGAAGATACTTCCAGATTCGTCTGGCTTCTAAATTCTTCAGAAAAAACTACAGCGCTAAAATGAGTAACATCATGGTGGAATGCGCCCCATACACTTAGGCTTTTTGTGAAGAATAAATCATAACACTTGTTGGCGTCTTGAAGAAGCGTCTATTTCTAAACAAAGTAGCACATTTCTACAAGAGAAAGGCATACGCTACTCCGCATACGCGAGTGTGGGGACTTATAACAGAAAAAGTATTAAAACCACGTTGACTTTTTGAAAATTTTCTCGATTTCAAGTTCCGCACTATGGCCGGTGATAAAGCAAGACCGGAACCGAAGTTAAAATCATTCGTAACAAGAAAGTTGCCTTTCCACAAAATTTGTCAACGAATTGGTACCTCAAAATATGACAAGGACCTATAGATAATCAAGGCAGGTGGTTGAACGGTATAAAAGTAGTGGCGAAATGGAAAAGAAAAATGGAAGCCAGGAGCAATACCGAAATGTTACTTTGCATTATAGATCCTGCCAGGTAGCTTGGCCTTGAGAGGAAAAGTAGTCTGCATAACATACGAGACCGCTACAGAAGTCCGTTCGCAAGCAAAGCTCAGCGAGCTAGGCCCTACGGTACAGTGCTGAAACAGAACTTGACCAGATGGACCTTATCGAAATTCATGAATACATGACACGCGTCAATTTAAGTAATGACCAGCAAATCAGCCAAATCGATTGAAATTACACTTTAGGGTTCACTTTAAGGCCTGACTTAGGCAGGGCGGATGAAGTTAGGCATAGATCTTATAAATAATGCACGATTTAAAAAAAAAATTATGGTTCGCTACCCCCCTGACATGGAGTTTACTTCGTATACAGAATAGATCGAACGAGCATGGACCTTTTGATATCAATTTAGCGACTTTATTCATTGTCAATTTCTAACACCAAGTAAAACTTTGACGAGATCTGTTTCAAGTCTCGTGGAAGTCATGCAATACCTCAAAAAATGCTTTTTAAGAATAAACTTTTCACCACAATGCAGTGTAAATAGCTCCGCGATTTTACGATCTATTGAATGTACTCTGATCAGTCAGGTTTTTGCTAAATAGATAAAACAAAATGATATTTCCCGAACAAAAACAAACCATTATTTTTAAACGAAATAAAAGCTGTTTTTTCCGGCTAAAATGCAGACAACCCCAAAATTTCATAATACCATTGGTAGCGCATGGCCTATTGTGAATCCGAGGCCTTTTTCCCTACGGCATTGCTACAATGCCGCCAAAAACTGAGACGATTGTACAATTTCTGATTATTCAAAATTCTTGGTAAAATTCAGTAAGAATAATCCGAGCACTCGAAAAGATTCATGATTAATGCAACTGAGGAAACAGATTAGCAACGGTTTCATTGCGATCTGAGTCTCGTTGCATAAACATGCATGCATTTTTAACGCAGACATGAGAGATGTCAATTTCGGCTCTCAAAATCATGATTTATCAACCTATTAACATGGAGGTATGGGGTGTGGGTTTGCTTTGCAATTGGAATGCGCACTCGATGCATAAAGGATTCGAGTTGGCATTTTTTTCACGAAATTAAGCAACCAAAATGACCATATTTTAGTAGGTTAGAATAGGGGAAATAGGTTCACACTGAATGCAATAGAATGGGTGAGGTAAAGGGCACACACAAAATACACCCTCGTTCCTACACTTCAGGTGGAAAATGTGCATTCGAAGCCTCGAGAGTCATTAGAAAACAGACATCAGCATCAAGATAATCGTCTAATAAATGCAAAGTTAGATCAGTGATTGTTTTGAATGACAGTATAACCATTTATTGGCTCCCATATTACAAAAACATGTGAATACCGTAAGCAGGTGTACTCAGTCTAAGTAGGCGGTCCCCTTCAGACAAAACGATGCGACATCAAACAATGCTGTTGCCTTATGTGAGAACGTACCTATCTAACTGCATATTGACTGATGGATACCTTCGCTAGACATCCCATTCAAGATCAAGAACTTTCACCGAGCCTGTCAAGCGCCCTTCACCTCGACAAAAACTTTTATTATTCAATCACAAACAAACGCATATTTGGAAGCAATTCGACTACAGTTAAATGAAATTGCCATAAAAAATGCACAGACACAAGCAGACGAAGGCACGGGAGTGTCAACATGAGATGACAAACTTAGCAGTGGTGACAAGGTAAGACACTGACACAGCCTAGATAAGTGGAGGTTGAATTACTCAGATGATAGTACTTCGAAAAAGTCTTAATGCCGACTGCTGAGGCTACCTAGTCATCTTTTATAATAAAATGCAAATGCTAAAAGTTTTGCAAGAAGTACATAATAGTTGCGTAAAATGAAAGATCGGTTTTCTTTTAACAGAATAGATGATCAATCAACCCTTTTTGCAATCCACCACCAAACTAATAAGAGTAGAATGAGGTGCTAACTATATCACTGCTCAATTAAACCCTACATAAGGGAAAGACAACCGAGCACTTAAGTAGCAAAAGATAAGCAGTCAAGCATACTTTCATGAAGGGTTTTCCATCCATGTGTTTGTTAGGAGGCCGCTTTTTGCGAAACGGCCCACAGAGGGCCATCTGAACGATACTTTTGTAAGCCCGAACAGGTAGAACAGAACCTGGAGCAAGGCTGGCAACGTGAGGAACCGGAATTGCAGGCAGTGAGCATCGAACAACTAGTGGTTAAGTATAGGATGATTAACAAATTATTTAGTGAATGTCAATCCGTCATAGCTACAAGTGTCAAGCAAGCTTAAAAGCCTATGGAAAAAGCATCTTTAAGCAAAAGTATGCATCGTATGCTTATGCTTCCAAAGGACAAAAAAGATGCATCATCGTCAAAATTTATTCCAAACCCGCGGCATTTACGTCACCTACTTTAGACAGAACAATCCTGTAAGTCATAGATAAGTTAACCATTTCAGATATGACTCAAAGAAGAGGATAAAATACCGGACGACACAACGTCGGTGAGGCAAGCGCGAACGCTCCGACAAAGACTGGCGAGCATGGGAGTGAGTTTGCATTTGAGTGATTTGGTGTCCAATCAACTTTCAGCCTTCAATAACGCGAACGAATTTGGACTTAGGGCAAATACGACAAGATAGACGGAAACTTCAAGTACCCCAAAATTTATTCCCCATAAGCCGAATAATTGCTCTTAAGTAACTTACCGCAAAAACGCTTATTTAAACGGTATAGGTGCAACATGTCCATTTCAATTATGCACAATGCATGCCTAAAAAGGGTATTTGCAAGCAAATGCAATGTGTAATATCCACTAGCACATAGGTTATATGTTAAGTAACATGTATTGCGCATACTCTCCATTAATGGTAATTGGAAGTAGGTGCCTATTTAACTTAACCAACAAGGTGCAACAGACACCCAAATTTTTAATTTTACTTTTAAATTTAAGAGTAAAATAAAGTCTAAATTTTCCAAATCATGTTTTGCTTCTTGAAAGTGCTCAAAATGTGATCCCTAATATCTGGTAGCCAATGGTAAAAAAAGCGGCTTAATAGTTTGGTTGCCTAAATGGATTGTAAGCCTTCATTCTTAGTTGCTCTATTCTACCACATTTCAGTGAAGTTAATACCGTTGCCTTCTCTGTTTTGAATTGCGTAATGAACAACCACATTCGGTGGTTTGATGCTCTTGATATTGTTAGATAAATGTTTAATGTCAGTAGGTTTCTGGCATGTGTCGTAATTCCCAATGCTCATCCAATTACAACATTATGCTCTCTTCCCATGTCATAGCAGTATAATTTTTGGACTCCTTTTATAAGAATGCTTATTGTACTGTTGGGGACGCCTAATGTCTGGTGAATCGTACCTAATTATTCTGTCCTTCCCTTGTAACTTTCAAAATTTATTCAAACCCCGAGTTTCACCCTCCACTGATGTTACATACTTAGTGGTTCATTTGTCGCTTTTAGAATTTTGCTGGTTTTGTTGTTTAAGTACCTGACTATTTTGCCTTTCTCTACCTAGTTGAAGATGATTTCACCTTCAAAGAGGACGAAGAGGTTGCCATTCCCCGCGCCTCGTTAAACAAGTATATAAAGGACATTCTACCAGACGCTCGTCTTGCCATCGAGACACGAGAGCTGCTTCTCAGCTGTTGTCACAAATTCATCCATCAGCTCTCTACTGAAGCTAATGCCGCCTGCGCTCGAGCCAAAAAGAAGACAATCAACCCTGAACACATTCTTAGCGGTAATTTCTAACAGTTAGTACTTATTCTCCCTCTTTCTTTTTGCAAGGCCTCGATTCTATGGGCCTGTCTAGCTACGTTGCCGATGTCAGAGCGGCTAATGAGGGCGCAAAGGTGGAGCTAAAGGATAGACGAATGCTCAGTGCGAGTCACCGATTCAAGAAGCATGACAGCGCTGAGTTGCAGCGACTCATGGAAGAGCAGGAGCGGATTTTTGAGCTGGTTAGTGGTTCTGTTTTCTTCTTCCTTCGAACTTGATTTCGTTGCGTGGTTTGGAATTTCCGGTTCTGTATTTTTGTTGGCTGCTATCCAGTCACATTTCATCATTTGAGTAGGTCCAAGTCGAGCTTAAAATACAAGGGAGTGAGATTTATGCCCTTTTTACATTTCTTTGTCTCACTGGTACTGTTCAATAATCGTATCAAGCACATTTTTCTATAACTGGGTGCGGTCGGAACCCTCTCATATTCCAACTTTCTCAAATCTCACCTTTAGAGCGTTTGAAAATCCAATCAGTGCTTGACCATCTCCAGTAACTTCTTCACTTAATCTCTTGACGTGGCACAAAGCAGGGAGTAGACAGCCAGCAATGACTGACCACATATATTTGCTTCAGGCAAAAAAAGATGGACAACTTATTCACCATTAGATTTTCTAATTCGTGAAATTTTGTGATTTCAACAACCATCATGCCGAATTGTGGATTTCTGGTACTATAGACTTTGCATTGAAGACTAGAAGGTGTGAAATGTTCGCGCCAATGTTTACTTCTTTTGATTGGATTTTCTTGCCCCACTTTATGGATGTCATTCTAATTACTCATAACCTTATCTGTCCTTACGTCACTCAAATCAAAGAAGTTGGATAGTTGACAATGTTAGAAGGCCACTATTCTCTTGTGGGTGATATCTTTTTAAATCTCGCACTTTTCGTCGCTCAGATTCATAGGCTATTTAGGCGTTTGTAGCCGCTGGTACACGGCCTCATATCTTATGGCATTTCATATGTTAAACGGCATATCTACTAACTTACCTATGCGGATATAAATTTGCTTACGTTTAGTATGAAGGTTTTTGTAATTGAGACCGGTTACAAAGGTCAGTTTCCTAGGTCAAGCAAGAAGAAGCAATTTTCCCGTCGAAACGGTAGATAACGCGTCTATTGCGTGTTTTCGTGCCCTTTAGGAGTACAAAAGTCTAACTAGGCTTCGGTACTTTTTTTTCTTCAGCTGAATAAAGTAGGAGTTAAAATAATAAAATATGGCAGCAGGAGCTGCTTTTGAATAAAGTTGCAGCAGTTTTTCGCAAATTCCTAAGTTTCTATTGAAGTTAAGTTCCTAAAAGGAAGTGCTTTTGTGAACGATACTACATTCACAATTGCTCGGGTGGTATATTAAGAAGTGTTTTTAAACACAATGTAGACTATTTGTCAGAATTGGGTACTACAGCGCTCAATACTTCTTTTTCTAATTAAATCATGCACATGATTGAGTATGACACGGTCTTTTTTTGGTTTTGTTTTTCGTGCCATACCCATTTTTCCCGCACAATCTATCTGATTACTAAAAATATGCTTTTGAACTGCAGATTCACAAGGTGGAAACAAAATATTCGGCAAAAAAATCGCTGCGGTTACATGTAATATTGGAATTTGTAGCCTTCTTCTTGTCACGAATAAGGACTTTGAGCCCCAGCTGTGACTGGATGCATCACCAACGTGCAGTATTGGGGCCCTGGATGTTGCCAGTTAATGGATGTGAAGAGGGGTTTCGTACTAACGGTCAGTTTCAAATATGTAAACTGTTGCAAATTTAGCTATACCATGACAGTCTCGGTGGTGATTTTGTGAGACTCGTAATGCCACATCGTTTGAAACAAATGCGTAAAAAACTGAACACTGCTTCCATATTATTTAAGCAGACGAACTTTAAGGAAGAAGTCATCCGCTTAATGCTTTCTTTGCCTACACGATTTAAAGGCAGGAAAAAGTATCCGTACCTCTCTTCTCTTCCGTGCGGCAAATGATTGCAAAAATCCTGTAAATTTTAACATTGGAGAGCTATTCTATATCAATCCATCGATTACAATGGGCGGATGCCCATTATGACAAGTCGTATTAAGTTGTAAGGCCTTCCGCCTTCGTTCATTTCCCTTCCATTCTAGATCGAAAATCGCAATGTGCACTTGTGTTCACGGTTGCCATCCCCTAGGACATGTCTAGTTAACTTATTTCTGGCTACTTATGGCATGATTGTTTTACGGTAATTTGACTCCACGTCCTTTTTGTTTGCATCTTTCTAACTTACCTCTTTTCGGAACCGGGATGTTTATGTTTACTAACTCAGTTTTCCGATTGTTGTCTCGATGACTCAACTTCCGCTTTCTCATCGGAATAGGCGCGGGTCTCCCACGTTCCACATAACCGACTGGTGGTGGTCCATTTGTGCTTCCTGTAGCTATATCTGATCAAATAACAAAAATGACCCCTCATGCTTGAAACTAGCCCTTACTTCTTTGACATTTTTGAAAGTAAGCTATTATTGTAGCTTCTTTTGGGGTATCCCTTGACTACGGCATTGTTTAGATAATCCTAATATTCATTTTTGTTTCCCACCAAGGTACTTTGGGCAGAAACAAAACATTTCATGATTCAATGTCGACATTTTGCGAATGAACTCTTTGGGATTAACTTATAAACAACAGGATCAGGAATGGCGACTTTGATACCAATGCAGTCTTCGTGTAAAAATCTTAATCTACTTTAAATCGGGCACTTTGTGTTTTTCGAGCTTGCATTATGCCATGCTATTTTGACACTATTTTGCTTTTCAATTCCGAACAGATCAGCTTGAAGCGTATTCTACGGAAATTTGACCTGTCCATGGATTGTTTTCGTTGAACCACATTAGGAATAAAATACTGTGTAAATACCTAGCTAATTTTTGGATCGCGAGAGTGGAGCGACAGTCCCTCGGGGGATTTCAGCCACCAAATCAGGCTTTTGTGGTTCTTTGGCAATTTCAACACCGCGATTGACTCAAGCCTGTGGCGTTGAAGTTGAACTTGTCAAAATACAACTATCAACTTACTACTTTTACATACATTCTTCACACTCATGGCAGTTCTGGTGCCCTTTTTAGGCTCGCGCTAGCGTCGATAAAACCTCCCCTATACTACTCGATCGCTGACTGAATTCTTTGCTCAATTTACTCGAAGATATTTCCATTCGAAAACTGGCACTTCCTGTTAAACGACTACTTACTACAGATCGCGTCTTCCGACTGCGAACCGTTGCCCCAAATTCTGATTTACCCTCAGAGTAGTGGGATTGAGTAGGTAGGGACAACTGTTTAATGCGACTGCTTTAGGCGACATCTGATTAAATGCAACCAGCGAATGCCTGGTGCAACAGCCGACAGGCCAAAATCGCGACACCACTCACTACCACCACAACGTAATCTCTCGTTTAAACTCAAACAATAAACATGGTAACGACTTCTTCCGTGGAAACGAGCCTGTTGACTTTATTACTTGAATTATGCAAATCCAACTTACTTCAGAGTCAAATTTTGCATTCCATCCTCGCCGCCTTTCTTGTATCTTCACGAAGATTCCATTGCTGTCCTGCCGCTACTTCCACTGGAAAACGAAAATCATTCAAAACCCACCTCAATTTCTACTTATTAGTATTTCTGATAAGGGAAGTGGGTAAATAGATGTTACAGAGAACGTAACTTCCGCATCTCCAAGGAGCGATTGATTTAGATACGAGTTGAGTGTAGCCGCCCAAACCTTTCCTGTTTTTTGATAGACGACATCGAGTTGAACCAATTGGAATGCAAATAGGTTCCCGCATTACCTTTTTGGTTTTGATGAAACTGTCAAGTCAAGGGGGCTATTGCCTTGGCGATAGGATTCACGTCACAATGCGATCATTAACGGACAACTGCGTCGTGGGTTCGGCGAAATCAACATTGGTGCACTCGCTACTAGGCTCCCAAGGCGGTAACTGACTACCGAATTCCACAAACGATACGCTGTAATTCAAGTGCATTCACCCACTGACCCTGAGTGTCCCACACCTGTTTTATTGTTTTGAGCCCAACCAATCTGTTCGCGATGCAATGCAGAGAGTGTGCACAAATCCAACAAGGCATTTATAGCACTGAGCTCGAATAAGAAAATTTGGGGCTTCACAGTACGCGGCGCCGGTAGTGAAGTCTTGAGATTAGAAGAGACACCAATTTTCCTCCTCATTTCCAGGCTCGTGCGGGGATGCTGGAGGAGCAGCAGCAAGTGAACGAGAGCGACCTGGTGAAGGCCGCCGCCTCTACGATGGCAGCGTTAGGGGGTGGCAACACCGCCGCCACCGATACCTCGTCTAAAGGGAATACCTCCTCTTCCGCCGCTGCAACCTCATCAGTGGACAATAAGCCCTCCACGTCTATTCCAGCCTCTGCGCTCCTTTTAGGCGGTCTGACTGGTGTGGACGAGGAAGATAATTACGATTGAAAGGCGAAGAGAGATGGGGACTTTGAGGAGCTGAGTCGCCTATCGCACATGCTTAAAATGGCGCTTTTCATTATCGATATCTTGTTGGTGGTTGTTGGGGTTATGCAGACAGTTTTTGAATAACCTCAGCACTGTGCTCAGTTTCATTACGGCAGTTGCGAGTTCTTTTATCCTAATCCCTTTGTATATGCATGAAGATGTTTCCTTTCTATTGATTTCTTATCGGTCATCTGGGCATTCAGCAGTTTCAGTACTATACCAATCTCTCAATAGGTTCTCAAAGCGGTTTTGTGACGGCCTCAACGCCAGATGTATCGGGATCTGCTAAACAAATTCGAAACCGGTTTTGCGCCTTTTACATCTGTGTGCAGAATGTAACCTATCTGTCGAGGTGTTAGCGGTTTATAGATCATGCAGTCGGGGGTGGGTGTGCTGGGGTTCGTTAAGGAAAAAGCGCGAACAGCTCCTATTTCCTTCGAACGTCGGTAAAAATGGCTAATGGTATCCTTCGTGTGATGGTTTGATGACGAGAAATTTCGCAGCCGCCCCGACTGTGATAAAGTTGCAAGGCCAAAAGGTCCTTCCGCCCCCTGCGTATGCAGGCAGCAGGAGGGGTATCGACACAACTACCCATGACTTAGTGTCGCGAGTAGAAAAGTAATTCAGCGGGTTTCTATGCCAGTCGAGGTGGTCGACGTTGGGTCCAACTGCGCTGTTGCGTGTATGTCAAACTTCCCCTAGGAATTGAATTAGAAAGGAGGAGCTTATTACTTATGTGGCACCGTGGAACTTTCCTCCTGGAAGCGAAATTGAGATACTGACGCTCAAATCTGGTAGACGACATAGGGGCACCAACCAGCAGGGTAAAAAACCTCCGTTTATAAAAATGCAAGTGTTAGAAGGCAGAATTGTCAGATCCCTCATTTTGTGTTCAGTACGAATGGGTTTTATTCTCCAACTTAGAAGGGTTGGACGGAATAGACCTACTTTTGCAAGATCTGGCGCCTGGAGGTTGATAAAACTACAAGATACGACACCCAAGCAGGAAATATGCCTTCTTATAAAACCGCAAAGGAAGGATTCTGCGTCCCAGAACCTTCATGGCTTTCGATTGCCTTCCACCTGTATGCACAAAAACTTTGTGCATTTTTTAACTCCATAACGGCTAGTAAAGTGGATAAGTCCATAAAACAACTGATGTTTTGGATCAATGCAAAACGACACAGATACGCAAAGGTGGAAGGGATTATGTAATAGTAAGCGCATGTTTGGAAGCGTCTGCACGTAAGTATAGCGACTAACAAATGGAACATGGAAGCGTGGCCAACGACTGCTATCCGAAAAAGCACTCGAGCGTCTAATTAAAATAATGCGGAATATACAAAGCCAATGTAAGAAGTATTCCCAAAGTACCCAAAATGCAGTTGGGGTCGACATCTTTGAGTTTCGTAAGTTTGATGAAATCATAGAGTACAACAGTCTTTTAATTATTGCTCTCTCCAACGTAAACATCAAGCGAAATTAGGTGTAACAACCAACCATATACAGTACATTTGAATAGGATTCTAACCCAAAGCCTGTAAACGCACCAACTTTGTCCGCGGAAGGATCCAATCTAAGGCAAGCTAGAGGACATTTCACTCTGATCTTACTTATAAAAGCAAAGAAATGAGTAAACGCGCGCATGCAACTCAGGGGCGGATAGTATCGAAGACCATAAAACCAAGAAGACAGTGCACAAACGAAGATGTGCTGAGATCTCACCAAATTGGAAAAAAAGCAGCGAATATCCGTGAACATAGCTGAGGCACTAAAGGGAACAACAGGACGTGCGACAAGAAACACTTAAAACAAAACCCAACATGCCAGACATCGATTTCGCCTATTGAAACAAAATATCATCGATTTTATTGGGTAGTAAATTGATATGTTGAGCTGCACCCCTCATCAGAGAAAAGGTACCAAAATTTATGAAAAAAAATTGAGAGAAATAAAAGTAAAAAACACTTTGCTTTTTGGAGATATTGGGCTACTTCCTGATTAAGATGGTTGAACCTGATAAATTAAGTGTATTATCATTTCGAATACCATCAACGAATAGGCGGATGGAACAAATTATCTTGATGAGGTACGTGGTCATTTACTGTGCATTGCTCCATATATAAGAAGTGCGAGATTTTCTGAAACATCATACTGTGACAAACTCCATCCTTCTCTGCAGCAAAAACACGTTTTCGGTGCTGGTAACGATAAATAGAATATTTTCTGATGCCTAGTTTGAATTTTCCGGCGGTATGGGTTGCACGGATCGTTCCATTTTGCGCTTCTAATCTTGGTTCCTGCATATTTGCGCTGATATTGAGCGATTTCCTTTTATTCTTCACTTGTTCCCTTACCGTAACGTGTGTAGCACCATTGCTACTATCAGCAGTATCACGTTATTTCAAAGCACAGAACCTGATCATCGCCATAATACACTCATGTGCAGATGAAGTAGATGTGGCGCGTCCTATGAAAATTTCATTTTCAAGTGTTTATTTTACCGGTTAATCATGTCAGATGTTGATAACTCCGGGTCCAACAGGAATATTTTTGATACATTTTTCAAACTGGTCGGAGGTAAGTGTTATGCAATATTGCTATGAAACGCCTCGCAAATGCTATTGTCCCTTAGGTTAGCCACCTAGTATTCTCTTCTTCCAACGCTAGGGTCGTTTCACATTCCAAACATTGGCCTTGTTTTCTTCTTTCGACGCCATTGTTCTGGAGGGGCAAAGTATTTTTACTCTGTTGCTTCTAACCTTTCTTAAGTAGTTGAACTCCCTACTTACTGATGAAATTGGACTTTATTTACCACGATTTGCAATTATGTAGGTTATTCGTTGTCTTACAGTATTCTGTCGTAGTTCTAATTGTTAGACGCTTATTTTGGCGATAAAATATACGTCTTGTGTACAAAAGTTTCTGTCCGGCTTTTAGTATTTGTGTTGGGAAAACTATGTTGAACTATTTTCATTTGTGATTTAATGTATGAAGCACCCGAAAATTTGCTATTCTTGTCCTAATTCGTACTAAAACTTGAGACTTGGGCTCCTTTCTTTTATAATCTTCTGTGTTTTAGGTGCTAACCATGTGGTGACAGAAGAAAGTAAGATAGATTCAAAGCAATGTTCGTTCAGTACTGCAAATTCGGCGGGTACATCTCCAGCCGTTGCCACCACAGCAGAAGGAGACGAACCATCCGCTAGCACAGCCATCCAGCAAACTCAGGTCTCCAGCGAACCCGGGACCCCTTCCAAGTCCTTCTACAGTTCTACTCAGCTCTCAGAAGCCCTCCGCACTCTCCCACCTGGTCAATTTGAGGCTGCAAGGGACTGTTGCATGCGCCTACGCTACCCTCCCACCCTTGCTGTTCTCATGCAACGCGAAAAAGGCAATCAATTGTGCGAGTCCATCAGTTCTGGACCACAGACCAAACCTCGCTCCGTTCGATCCATCCACTTCGAGATTCTCCCTAGTCACTTTGAGGGCACAGTGGTGAAGCTCTTCGACGAGGACGGCGCCACTGCTGTGGGTGCAGAGGATGTGGTAGAGGAGGATCCTTTTAGGTCCGAGTCGATCAATCGATCCGCTGCGACTGCTGATGGTGAAGATCGCATTCCTTCCCCGGCCACAAGCACTAAGCGCGCTCGTCATCAGCGTAAGACGAAAGTAGAGGAAGATAGCGACTTTAAGACTACATCAAATACACGCACAGGTGGCATTGTAAGTGGGATGCCGTACACTAGTTTTTGCAGCAAAAAAATGGCTGTAGTAATTGGTTTGTTTTTGTGTCTCTAGGCTTTTGGTACCAACGGGGATGATTCGGATGGTCTCGAAATTGTTTCAGTCCTTCCACCCGATGAGCAGCTTTTGCCGCGTAAGTTTTACTTTCAACTGGTCGAGTTGTAACTGAAAGGGCTATTTAATGAACCTGCGAGGATGTGTGGTTCAGTAATTTGATGTTCGCTATCCAAAATCTTTGTCATGTTGTAATTTATTGTTGCCATTTTAATTATCCCACATGAATAGACAACTGTAACTTTGGGTGGATCCAAGATTAATATTTGATCTGATTTGTCAGTCCTCTTGCGGAGTTTAATTGAACTGAATAGCTACCACTTAACATATAAAGTGACTCCTCTAAATTTGGATTCTACAATCGATATCTGAATATTTTAAAATGAATGCAAAATATTTTTACTAAATTTGAAGCAATTCAATTGTCACCAGTTAGTACCCAAATTATGATTTGTTGATATCCAAGATGTTCTGGAAGAGTGGTTCCGTGATTACTGTTCTTTGCTAGTAGTCCTTTCGCGATGTTAATCCACTTCTCCACATTCTTAAGTTCAAAATAGTGATTTGGTGTGCTGTTGTTGTTGATCAATTCTTGGAGGTCTGCATGTCACAGCGTCTGTGTCCGGCATTTTATTCGCTTACTTGGACTGATTTGTCCAAGTCCTGTTATGTCGAAAATCTGCTTGTCCTGGTAGTTTCAACTGTAGCCAGCTAGTGTTTATTTGAACTCATGGATCAAATATCGTGATCGGTCTTCGCAAAAGGGAAACCTCATGTTGGTTGTCAACTCGTCAGTCGCTTTGTCCCATATGAATTTGTCAAAATCGCGGTCGCATTAACTTAAGCAGATTCTTTGGAGACCCTACTTTGCTTTGCATGGAATCTAGTGATTTTTACTGTAACCATCTCCCGATTATCAACTTGACAAACATTTCGCTATGTGCTCTGATTAGCCCCCACCATTACCACCGTTGCCACGGGGAGTCAAAAGCGGAAGCCATCAAATCACATTTCCTCCATCTTATCGCCGTCTGCGATGGCAGCGGCGGCAGGGACCTCATCAGCACAGTCGTCTTCGCTACCACCTTTACAACAGCGAGTTGAATCATCTCAAGCCATCAATCGATCCAGTTTCGGGGTCTCGCCTGAGCTCAGCGTGTTTCAATCCAAGCCTTCGAATAGGGTGGGTGCTTCTCTTCTTTGAGCTCCTGTCAGGCCAGTCCTAGTCATTTTTGTAGTTGAAGTGGCTTTTTTCGTGCGTTTTTGGGCTTTTCCGCTGCCTAGGGTTTAAACGTAACCGAGGTTGGATAGAGGACATTTTAAAGTGCTTCTACGCTTTCATCATCTTTGTTGGACCCGGTTAAGACTGACTGAAGGGCAGTTGACTATTTCAACTATTTTGGCTGGGTATTATGAACGCATAACTTTCTTTTTGTCGTAATCTGTGCTCAATGTGGGGATAGGGCTTTATCTCACAGAGATATATCTATGTGGGAAGTTGATGAAAGGAGACTGCTCTTGACACCCAGCCATCTACGGCTACAACTATGATTGATTACGATAAAAACCGTAGAACTGATTTGACGCAAAAGGAGGCCAATGGTTGAAGCTGTGGGCTGAGTGGAAATGAATCTAGAATTCACCTATGCCTTAATTCTTGTCTATCTTGATTTGAATAAGGCGTGTTTAATCCGTTGTTAGTTGGGGTCCATTAGCTCAGGCACCGTGAATGTTTGCACCGTAAATGTTTGAAGCATTTCTTACCACCACTAGGATAGAACGACTGGGAATAAATTTCGAAGGTAACGTTTACTTTGATTTGATTATCAGGTGATCGAGATAGTTCGCGCGGTTTGGGTACAGCTCGCTACAGTCATGTGTTGAAATTTCTAGGGGTTGGTAAAATGCATGCGCCTGTTCATGTTATTACCCTTTCTACTACTTTTCTGCCATTTTGAGTCCTCATGTCGTTGAATGAATCCGATGAATGTGATACTATTTTGTCTGCTCTGCGAGGAAGTTTAACCCTGCTCTAAAGTTCCAGAAGCTTCTTTTAGTTTGTCACCATAGCATTAGATTTAAACAATTTGATCCTGAGGATGGGTCTTTTAAAGATGGATGCACAGTGCTGAAGAAGGCTCTGTATTCCTGATAATAATGAAAGGTTACGTGCCGCTAGTGATTTAATGATGCGCGATTTGTGTTTCACGAACTTTTAGGTATATTGAATGTGTAACACGTGACAATTGGTGTAAACCTGTAACATCGCCTGTGAAAGTCATGGAAGCTGAGCAAGCAGTTCTCACCTACATGCATTAACAAAAGGTGACATTTGTTGTTCTTGACCTTTTCGTCCTACAAAAGCGCATTGCCGGGAATGGTTTGTTCGCTGACCGACTTGTAATGAGAAATAGGGTTTGTATTGATATGTTGGGCAAAGGAACCTATCTTTGATGTTATCATGTTCCAAATTTCAATGAAAGTTACACATTTCGTCAATTTCGACACGTTTCGTCAGTTGTGAATCGTTTCAGCGAATCGCATCACGATGGATCCATCAGGAACATAGCGCTGAGGGCTAGAGGGTATCCCACGGCGATTTACTAGAACCTTTTGTACTGAAAGTAGCCAATGTCGAAACTATGTATTTTCTGTTCCGTTATGACTTGCTATACCTACGGATGTGTGGTTTAATCCGCCTCTGGTCACGTGGTGGGAGCGGAACCTGCCGATTATGACTCTGAAGTAGCGCAAAGTTTTCTTTCATTTACTTCCTTCACTTTGTAGTCACGCAAGCTTCTTTCGTTTCCAAAGACAGTTTCGTTTTCCTCCAAATGCCTCGAAGGTTGTCTCTATCTGGACAAGGTAAGTGACACCCCTTTGTTATTGTTGGAAATAGTTTTCAAAAATTAGGGAAATTGATCGTTATGGCAATAGGTAGGAGCCTTGCATCGACCGCCTTCTGAAATGAGAAAATTGCTCTTTGTTCGAGGTCACAAATTTGACGAAACAATTTCCTTATCAAAATTCTGACCTACAATTAGCGAAGCTGAACTAGTCTTTCTTGAAGCTAAGTCCTCAGGGTGGAATGAATACGCTTGTTCTCCCAAATTTATTAAGGAAGGGAATAAAATTTGGTCAACGTGAATTACCTGTCGATCCAACTGGCTACTTCCTGCTTCACATTTATGCGACAACTTTGAGGTTTGCGCACACGCCACTCATTACCTTAAATTTGCCGATTAAGAAAGAGAATTGGTTATCGTAGGTGCATGAGACTTTGCCCGCCAGAAGCGTCAGGAATCTAATCGTTCTATTCGTTCTGTTATCCAATAGTTTTACCAACAGCTGGTTGGCTTTGGAATGCTCCCGGAAGTGGCTTTGGAGATGACCTCAATGGCTGTGAGCAGTGATTTCCTCGTTCCTACTCCGTGTCCGTTTGGATGGCCACATTTCGTCTGCCTAGAGTCGAATCCAAGTAGTCTTCAGTAAGTCTTCTCATCTTAATTTCTTGTCTCAAATTTTTGAGACAGAGTATGGACATACGTCTACCACGCTATCCTCGAATCACCCATTACAAACCCATCACGGATCTACTAGTCCATTCATCTGTCTCTGATCTGCTCGATTATCTATTCATCAAGTACCACTCTCCTACGCTTCAATATATTCACCTCTGTTTCATCCATCCACTCATCAATCCGTCTCGTTCATACATTCGTTTGTCTCAGTAACATTGAATAGTCCATCTCTTCCGAATCCATCTTTCTATGCATTCGTTTGGGCGGATCGTTCGTTCGTAGACCTTAAAACCTGTGGAGGAGAAACAAACTTCTCCAGGCATCTAAAAATAACTTTAATGAAATCATTATTCTCTAATGATTTTTCAACACAGCAGAATGCCTTCTTGTTACCCTCAATAATGTCCTAGGTGGGGTAGTCCGAGGTATTTGCATCAGAAAATTTAGGAGGCCTAATATGACTGTGAAAACTTTCAGCTGCCCGATCCTGGGTCGTACAAGGTGTACTGGAGGGAAGCAGCCTTATGGAGGTTTTTTGGGCGAACCTCTCTCTCTGGGTCTTGACAATCGTCATCAATATTTGAGTGTAGACTGTCACATTGATCCTGGAATCTTCCTTTAACGACGGGGAGACACAGTATGGCCCTTGTTGTTCGCGGATTCACATCTTTTCCTTGCTTCATCCTTGACAGAAATTGTGCACTCTCCCCAGTTCTAAATACGAATAATTTTTCGGCATCATTCAGGAAGGCCGTACTCTTCAAAGTACTGTAATTTGCGATTAAGAAATTACGCCTGAACCAGGTTCGAAGATTTTATGTTGGGTCGGGAATTCACATGAGATGTATTAGAAGCTAGACTCCTCATGTCTCGTAAGGGAACTTATTTGAATGTTACACTCTACAGCCGAGTTTTATCCTTCAACCACATTTCTGATATCTTTAGAGTATCAAAATCACTTTTCATTCAACACTCCCAAAACATCCCAGATATTTATGTCCCCTATTCTGGCCTCCCATCTAAAGGGACCTACAAAGAGGCGAATCGACACATTCTCGCACAGCTCTAAACTTTCTCAGCGTTGGAATGATCCCACGGTAAAACTTTCTTAGGTGCTCCTTGTTCAATGTGAACTCTCATCCTGCTTAGGGCAGAACAGTTTCTACTGATGGGAGACGCTCTCCGCCTAATCCTCCTGGCTTACACCAATCCGACTGTAGAAAATCGCAACGCCGTAAAGTGTCTAACTAATCTCTGTCATCAAAAAATCCGCTCCATTCTCGTGGAGAATATTCGCGTGCGCACGCCGGAAGGCTTCCAATGCGTGCCCTTGGAGTGGTCCTCCCTTCTCTCCTCCTACTCTCTTCGTCTGCCTAGTCTCCTATGGCTGCCTGTCGTCACTCCTCCCTCTCGTGACGTTATTTTGCGCATTTTTAATGCCGCCTCAAAATCAAACCGCTCCAAATCCACTGTGATCCCCTCATGGACATCAAGCTGTCCTGTGGAGGACCTAGCACATATTGCGGTTGCCCTTTGTCCCAAATTCACCGTCCCTGATCCCCTCAACCCTCCGTCCTCCATCAACTCTACTGTCGCTGTCGACGAACTTACCTCTGCTCAGGCTCTACGTGACTTCCTCTCCCTCTGCTCCACACCCACAATCAAGTGGACGTCGGTCAGCTTGACTTCTACCTCTATATCTGAATCGCCTCTGGAGACCCTCATTCACATGACGCCGCCACAACTGCGTGCTCTGTGTCAACTCTTCGACTGCAACCATGCCTCTAGTTTCGCAGGTCTGGGGCTCATCTGCCTCCTCTTCAAACGTCTTTTTATGCACCTTTTTGTCAACGCTTCTTTTGCGGGGCGGGGAAGGCTTATGGTGCTACGACATACGCTCTGCTTGATTGAGTGCCCCTTGGAGGACGCTTTTTACGACTGTGACTTGTTTACTCATCTCGCGACCATCCACGCCCGTGTCAGTGATTGTCTGGGGAACCTACGTACCGCCTATCCCCAACTAGTCTCCGCTGGAGCTTGTTTGACTGCCCAATACCGGCTGAATTATTCTCCTCAAGCTGCTACAACGGCGGATGTCGGCAGATCGCGTCTTTTCACGACGGCACAAGAAGCGCGTGATGTTATTTTGCAGATGTTTAAGGAGACCATCTACCCTAATCTCGTCGCGTTGTTTGAGTCAGTGGCAGCGGCCCATGAGTTCCTTAATTTTGTCCTTACGAGAGATCTTTACATGTTCAGGAGATCGCATGGAATTGACGGCCGTGTTGAAGAGAATAATGCATTCCGCCTGCTACGCTCAGGTATTGCGATGTTGAATCGCCTGGAGAATAAGAGTATCTTTCAGAAGATTAGCCAGTCAAATGACGGTGTAGGCTTTGAGAAAATCCTCGAACCGGCGGTGCTGTGCAAGACCAAGCTAGTAATTCTACGCCCTCCAGGATTGTTGTATCTAGTGGAACAGATGGCAGTCCAGTTAAAGACGTTTCGACATAGCCTAATGACCTCGCGGATGCATCTCTCCTCTTCTTGGTGGTCTGCATTCACCACCAGCGCGGTGGATGTGAGTGCCGACTCGAACGTAAAGCTCTTTGTGACAGAAATGCAGACCATCTTCGACACGATTGAAAGCTGGACGCGGGGTCTACATAATGTAGAGCTTCGAAGCTTCCCCGTCAAGATGTTAGAGGTGCTTGTAAAAGAGATGGGGAAAGAAGTTCCAGGTTTGCGTGGACTGAAAGTTGCGCCCTCTGAATTGGAGTTACTCGGGGTTCCATATGGATCGAAGAACTCAGCGACGGCAGAAACGGTCCTAACTGCCGTGGCGGTCGCATCACTTCCACCATGTCCACAGAATGTCCTGTTTGATGATGGACAAGCCGCGGTTGCGTCAGAAGCTTCTATGAGCCTAGATTTGTTAAATAGAGCCTTTTCAGTTCCTGATGATGGGGAGGTGGTGGATGAGGGCGAAAACCAAAAGTCGTCTCTTGAGGAGGGAGCGAACGAAATAAATGAAGCGGAGGAAGCCACTACGTCAGTTCAGATATCGACAGAAGTGGAGGAGAGATCTGAGGAGACTGAAGTGACCCAGAGGACACCACCCAAAAGGGTGGTAATCAATGTGAGTGGGGAGGACGTCACGATGTCAGTGATGGAAGGAGAATCTAAGGAAACGCAGGAGTTGAGAGGAGGGGTTTTCACTTCGAACTTCTTCATGATGGATCGGCGCACCTTGGGCAAGTTGAAACGAAGTCAGAAAATCCTGTCCCATCATCATCAACAAAAACAGCAGTATCAAGAGGAGGAAGAGATAGAGCAAGTGACAACTTCTTTTTCCTGTGACGAAGACAATCGAGTTGCTAATACATGTAGTAATGACGCCTGCTAGTTTTTTAGTATGTGTATGTATCGCTGTAAATAGTTTTTTATGCGTGGCCAAATTCTCATTTTGTGCTCTTTTGTACAGTAGATTGAACAGACTGCCCATCCCTATTTAAATATATTTATTGTCGAATCATCGTTTCACTTATGTAGATTCTAATTAAATAAAACAGTGTGTGGATTACTTAGCAGAATTGATTGAATCTGTGTTGTTAGGTGAATGGAGTAGTAAGTGTTCGCACATGAAAGTGCCACATGCGTGCTCGTGACCGATATACCAATCGTCCTTACAGCTCGATGGAAAAGTTGTCACTCCACAGGCTGGGTGCGGCTAGTACAAATTCGCCTCCAGCGGAACGAGTTCTCAGCCTGCGCACAAACTTCTACTCTGTAGAGAACCGTCGTCCATGTTTGGCAGAGGCATCGCGCTCCAAACGCCCAGTAAACTACACAAAGGATGAAGAAATAGTCCTGAGATCGATTCTAGAAACCGCAACATCTGAAGAGGTTGCAGCAGAGTCGATTATGATTACTTAATTGGCAAATGCTCGAGAGTTTTTTCATGTTTTCTCGGAGAAGGCAATTTCCTTTGGCAGATTGTAACTGGTGAGCGAACAGCGAACAATGCGACGGAGATGTGTACCTCATATTGCACAAGCATTCTCCACCCAACCAGTGACAGGAAAGTTGATAATAACCGTTCTCTGGAATTACCGGGGCCCTAGCACACAAGGATACAAGCCTGCCTTGAGAAAAGTTACAAATTCCTCCTTCAAAGTGAGCACTAAGCACTTCATAAACCAAACGCTAGTAAAGGCCGCTACCCTATCCCATTGGCCAATTGGTGGTGGGAGGGCCCGATGCCCCACTTTAAAGCAGGCTGATTGGGTGGCAGGCGCAAACACCCTCCCAGCGACCTTTTGTTTGGACCCACAGCTTCAATGACCGCTTTAATTAGTTTTAGCGCAGTCGCAACTCGACTCCTTTCCTGTTTAATTCCCCACTTAGTTGATGACTTGACACTTGTGTTAGCGGAACCAGACTTACAGATACCGCGCTGATGACTGGGACTAATACCTCAGCCAAATGTCCCTTTTTTTACCCTTTAGACGCCGCTAACCCATTTCCTACAGCACACTTGTCGACTGTCGATCCACTTAAACATTCAACCGGCGACATGTTGTCAGCCGTACGCACCGACTTCTCATTTGAGCGGAGGGCACCGCGTTAAGGTAATCCACTCCAACATTGCCCACTATCAAACCTCCAAACGCAGTGGCAAAAATGCAATTCCATTAGATATGGTATCTGCTCAAAATTTACTTCTCGACCAATCGGACTCGGTTCCCGAGGCAATCTTTTCTCCAAATAAACAAATTTAACAATCGCAATCGCACTAGACCAGACCTCAAAACTGCGGGTCACCTGAGCTACACCTTAAAGTACCATCTTTGTGGTTAGTCTACTAAGACGCTTTTCTATCTGCACACATAGACAAACGTCGACTACTTCAGTCGACCTTTCCTGTCAGTGAATCATTCTCTCGCTTTTCCGTGGTTGGAGCATCTGTCCAACTCGGCTACGCATTCCGTGCACCATCCAAGATTGTTCGTACTTATTATTGCAGCGACAAGCACAGGCAACGGAGATTTGACTGCACACCCCACTTTGCCTGCATTATCAAAACCCGAAACAGTGCCGAGTGAGATGACACAACTGGAATCCGATTGAACGAATGCATGGAGCGGTGGTTTTTTAATGAGTACGCAACCCCACTTGGTCAATCCTTCCGACTGGAATTTAAAAATCCTATGTATACAATGCAGCCGGAATGTTGAATCGCTTCCAGCAAAAGCACTGCATTTAACTCACGCACTTTTGACACCACTACCTTCAAATTCGTCGTGAATGACATAATTTTCCAACAGTAGACGAAAGGTGGAATTAATGATGATACGTTCGAATGCCAAGTTATCACAAGAATTAAGTAAGAAGAGTAGTCACGAGGATTCAGTCACGATGACTCATGCTTGAGGTCAGGGCACGCCGGCAGGGCATAGATTGTTACCCGTGGAAAAAAGCCTGTAGATTAGAGAGCCATGCACCTCGACTTATCGAGTGGTCATTTTGGTTAAGACAACGAAGGAGTTACAAGCAAAACTAAAGTGTATAACCGTGGGAGCAGGAAATAACAGCCCATGTAAATGGCTTTGCAAGTAGTTAGATGGCTTAGAAAAGCACAAGTGCGGCAGTTAACTAAAGTACGCCAATCATCCAAAAGTCACTTATCTGTTCTTCACCAAAACTGCTCCCTAAAAAAGCAACGTAAAGAATTACCTCAAATCCGTTAGGCGGTAGGGCGTTGAGTAGAACGACCTAACAAGTGAAGGGAGGCGTCCTCTTATATTTGAACGAATTAACAAAAAGGATTTCACCAATGGCTGTTGATGCAAAAAGCCTCCGTTTAAAAAGGCCCTCGAAATCGAGGCCTATTAGTGCGTGGTCTGATGGCGGAAATCACCCGACTTGACACATCCGCTGAATACCTGTTGTGCACGTGACTCCGCAGTCATGTCAGAAGCCGCGATTTTAAAAGCTTGCAGATTCTCACATTATCATTACCTTACCGATGAAATACAGGAAACAAGTGGTGAATTCGAGAACTAATAACCAACCTGAGTAATTGGCTTGTCGAATATTGCAGAGACACTGACCACTAAGATTCGTACAGATCTTTCTCAACTGAATTGAAAATGGATCAGGATGAATAATAATAGAATTGTGATGAATAAATTGCGGAATTAATTCACCATTTAGCCTGAAGTTTTACTTTCTGGATGATCCCAAGACGAGAATGAGACACCTGAATCACCTCAAAATCCACGAATGCGATGGCAATCCACGCAATCATCGTTGTTACTGTTGAAGTGGCTGATGTAGGCAAGTAATCACTGGGAGCAAAATGAATGACACTCCAAAAGCAAATAAAGGCAGTAAACCAAAGCTAGTTTTTGAATTAGTTACCTTTCCACGGTAATTGGAGAAGGAAATAAGACTAAGTAAGAAAGGAAACAACACCCCTAATGTTTCACATGAAAAAAAACGTCTTCAGCACTGTTTACTAGACGCCGGCTAAACAATGTAATGGTTGAAACCGAAAATGAAATCCAAGAGCCACACTACTGGCTGTCATTAGAATCGAGAGCCTGGCCAGTCTGATGTACATTAATTTAGCCATACATGACGGAAGATATTGGCCCTATCCAGAAAACCAACAAATCTTTATAAAGAGCCAAGTTAGCACAATTGTTGTCACATCTTCTCCTCTTACACCAATGTAGAGAATGAAATAAAGGTAAAGGAACATCAAGAATAGCTAAAGAAGGAAAGAGAGTCCAACTAGCGCTTTGCGACAAAATGAACCGGTCCGTCTCCAGGCATTCCTGGCGCCAAACCGCCAACGCTTCCCACTGGTAAACTGGGAAAGATGCCACGATAGCATACAAACCAGCAGGAAATTCCCACCGATGCACCCAACAGTTTTGACGGCATCGAATGAAAATAGACAATTGTTGCGAGGAGCATAAAGTCCCACAGCAAAGAGAGGCATGCTGTGGCACAGAAGACACTTCTTAGATTCAGCGTCAGTCGAACATACGCGGATCGCATCGCCTGCACCGTATCTGGACTCACATTTGGCAGTCGTGGCGCAGCAGTGGCGGTAGAAGAGTCCAGATCGTCGGAATGCGTGCTCACGTCCAACAAGGCACCAAGAACATTCCACGATCGCATCACCCTCAATTCCTCAAGTATCCAGAGATTCGACATGGTGAGAAGGAAACAGTGTCCCGAGATATCAAACCCAAGCCAATATCCTTTCGCTTGTCGACAAGACCGACGATTAAATGGCCGAAGTGAGTAGGGGGATCGAAAAAGTGTGCCGTTGGGGTTATAACAACTCCCAAAACTATACTCCACAGTGTTAAACACTCCTGTACAAGCGTACCAGCAGGCTGAACCAACAAGGAGACGCATTAGATGTGCACGGATAAGCCGACGATTTCCCCCAGTGTAAATGTACGTGGAGATGAGGATAAAGATGGAGAGGCAGCAGAAGGTCCAACCCCAACCCCACTTGACGAAGAGAAGATTAAAAGCATTGCGCTTATGTGAAAAGTAGGAGGCTGGCATCTTAAGGAAATCGAAAATCAAGGAGCCAGCGGCGGCACCGCATAGGTAGATGCCCGCTTTCACCGAGGGGTCTACAAACATGGGCTTGCGGAGGAGGGAAAACGCAAAGAGGCTGAAGAAACGCGCTGGGGATGTGGGACCAGGGATGGAGTGACGGGCGCGAGAGCCTGGTTCCGCAGGGGGGAGAGGCTTGGAACCGCTTTTGCTGAACTTACGAAGGGAAGACGCACTGAGAACCATGACTAGAAGACGAGGAACTACAGAAAAGAGAAGCTACATCAAATTTTGAGTTGTTGACACCCAAACTAGCGGAAGGCACTTGAAAATACTGGGATTATTAACTGAGTAATGTCGGTAAATCTTAATAACCAGGTTAGATGAAAATAAGATCCAAGTGAAATAAAACAGACTACCTGTTGAAAATCATGTTTCCCCAATATTTACTCCTCGGCGTTGTGATGCGGGTAGATTATCGTGCGATAAATATAATAAACCACTTAAGCCAAACATAAAAATTTGTGGAATGCAATATAATATGCAATATAGGAAATCAAAGTAATACGTAGGAGAAGTAACAACGCATCACGGGAAATTGATACTAAAGAGCATTAAATAAAAGCCGAAGAATTTAATTGAACATAAAGAAAAAAGAGGCCTGAAGACCAAAATGCAATATCAGAGTAGCCTTAAGTAATACAGACACTTTGCTAGTGAAATGACTGAATGAAGTGACACATTAGTAGAATTCATGTGTAATACTATGCAGTGTGTATAGGGTGTGAAAATGCAGAATGGGAGTTGTTGAGGTAGCATAAGTAAATTTTGGAGTCGAAGCACAAGATCGTTAGGGCTATACTTACGGAGACATATCAATGTAAGCGACTAAAATTGATAGCTAATTTGACGCAGTTAGCGTTATAGTTACACCTTAGCAATGTGATGAAATAACGTGGAAACAATCGTTACATATATAAAGCGCACAGTCTAACAAGTTTGCACAATTTTTTAAACAGGAGCTATCTAAGTTGGTAAAAAACAATTGAGAAAGGTAATGCGCATAAGTGGTAAAAAGGAAAAGCATTGGGGCAAACAAATCCAACGAGGCATCAATGACAAGTACGAAATAAACACTGCCGAAAACTAGAACGCAAATGTGCAAGTGCAAGAGGAATAGTAATTTATCTCCGAATAGTAATGCACTTAGGGCAGGAAATAACCATGAACACCAATCCCAGACAGAAATCCTTTGACACTGAAGGAAAGGGGGAATAAAACAATAGACACAAATCTATCACAACTCAAGAGAATGACTGGAGCGATGGAACAAAACCCCATATTTAGCATGTAAACGATAAAATAAGTATGATTCAAAAGACGGTGCGATTAGCTCACGGGACGTTTAAGCATACCAAATCAACAGATCCACAAACCAGATCCAATGGGTGTCGAGCACCAACATCCGAAGTTAAGTTGCCATTTGATATTTAAAACGCATATCTTTTATATATTTGCTAAAAAATAACACTTTGTTGGTAATATTAGTAATCCAGATCAGTTTGTTTAAAGCAATCAAGTCATTATAGCTACATGCGTTAGGGTTAAATGGACGCCTGCGCTTGAGGTCTCCTTCCGGCCGTTGTTCATGTGTGGCGTTCTGTTTCATCTCTGTGATGAACTATAACCTCCAATCTATAATGCTAGATTTGAAAAAGGGGACAGATGCACAGGACCATGCAAGTTTACTTTGTTATCATATCTTTGATAACGTTTTGCATATAAAGTCGTCCTGTCGGGCTTTCCTAACTTTACCAGATGCTTGTAACTGTCGACCTGTGAACAATAAATTTAATATAGGTCTTTTTGTCGAAGTAATTTGTTACTATTGGGGCTCAGTGTTCTGTTTGTTTGTTTTGTTTCCACTCTCGATTCAGTTGTTATTGCCGTATAGGTTACCTTGGTAGTCGCATTCGAAGTTTTGCTCCTTTGTTCTCATCTTTTCTCCTGTGTGTCCCATGATTTCTATCTGGTTTGGCTTCTGTATTGTTATTCGCCACCAATTATTTGGAAGCCCATTTTGTTTTGCACTTCTAATATGGTCTCCTCTTTATTAATTTTCAGCTCTGTTTATTTTTACAACTACAGGACCCTCTTCCAATAGGAATTTGAAACTGAGTCAGCCGTTTTCAGAATCTTTTCTTACTTTGTCCATGTTCCGCTTTGTAGTACAGTGTTTAGGCTTTGACTTCTCTGCTGTGAAATCCCCTTTTTAAGTTGACGTTCTAGCATTGACCACTGTTGTAACCCGCGTCTGGTCTATGCTTTGTATGTTTTTAGTTTTGATAGGTCCTGACACCGTATCCCTAGAATACTTAGTGTGTTCCTTCCACTCCATTTCTGTTTCGTTTTACACCTCACGTTCGACCAATTCTCGTGTCGATAAGATTGATGCTTTCTTTAGTCATTTTTCCCTTATGCATAGGTTAGCAAGTGCTAGCTAGTCTAGATGGGCACACTAGAGCTCTTAATCTTTAGCCATTTTCTACAAGTTCGAAACAGCTGTTTTTTGGGTTTTAGAATCACATACTCGATTAAAACTTCCGACTCCACTTTGCCGTTATCATTTGTCATACTTTATCCTTGTCTGTAAAAATTCAGGCACTTTTAGCCAGTTGAAGCGTTTAAAAGAGAATTTCAGAATCATATCCCATTTAGCAATCGTAGCACGTTGTAGGTCTTGTAGTTTATTTTTTAATCTGTCACTTTTTTCGCAATTCATTGATGGTCGCCCGCTACTAATTGCGCTTACAAGTAGTGTATCATTGCTCAACCGAAGCACCTTTTCAAGTTTACTTGCTCCCATTTAAAAAATAGTCGGGCGTTTCTATTCTCCATGTCCCACAATTAGGCCCTCTTCCTTCTTCTCGGAACGCTTGTTACTATTCTTACAAAGGCAACTCCCAAACTTTGCACATGAGCTCCGGGTGCTGTTGCACCCTTTTGTCGCTTTTGAAGGGTAATCTTCAAACCCTCTCGCATCACTTATTTTTTCTCTCCCCCTCTCCAGTAAATCTCAACGTGGTACTCTTTTATCCTCATTTTCTGTTGAGTGGCGGAGCACATATATATACATACCTATAATATACAATGTTGCACTGATTGTTATGACCTGTTCTTTTTCTTCATTCTGTCTCCCTTTATCACCTCATCGCACAATTGGGTAATAAATATTTGCAAAAACCGGTTTTTCTCCTTCTGTCTTTCTTTCCTTCATACTGGGTAGCAGAAACCTTGGGTGGTTGGTGGTTAGGCGGGCGGGCAAATGAACGAACGAAATCATCGTAGCGATGGGCGACTCCCACGCACACGTGCTGAATTGCGCTAGCAGTCTTGGGGTGCTGAATGTGCAGTGGTGCAAACTGACAACTTCGTTCTAGTGTGAAATACTCTGCTCCGCCTACTCTCCCCGTATCTCTGTGCCTGTGTCCCTCCATCCACTCGGTCGTTATTAGCTATCCCGCGCCGTCACGCCCGTGCTTCTCTGTGTGATTCGGCTTGGCGCTGCGTCGACCCCCCATTGATTACGCCGACGACAGGCGACGCACGCACGCCACGCATCCAATCGGCCACGCCGGCGCAAGCCTCACGCTGCGTGCGTCGCTAGTTTTGGAGCTCGACAAGGCGCGTATTTATATTAGCTCTGGCTGTCTTCCTCTCTCTCATTGGTTGCTGTCTTTCTTTCCTCTCCATTGGCTATCTAGTGGCCTTATTGTTAAGGGCGTGCGTTCATTGGTGTGCCTTTGGTGGTGCGCACGTGCAGATTTTTTCCTGTTTTTGGCCTTAGGCTCCGGTGGCGATGAGGAACGCTGTAGCTTTGTCAAATTAAATAGCTAGCTAGCAGTCTCTTGGCTACTGCTTATTGTGGCCTTGCGCAGTTACTTTTAGCAGGCCTCATTTTGGGTACTGCGGCTGATTACTACTATATAAATTGAAGCGTCATACGACAGTTCATTAGTTGCCCTCGTATTTTCTACCCTGATAGGATGGTATCGTCTCATAGACTTGTTTTTTATCCTTAGTTTAGTATTTCCCCGATTTCTCATCCCTTTTAAACTTCATATACGTTCCCAGTTCATTCCAATGTATTCACAGGTCGTTTCCTCCTTTAAGCAGCCTGTTTTCATTTCACCAACTTTTGCCGTGTGGCCAATGCAGGTAGACTTATTTACAGGTTTTATTTTAATGAATAGTGGTGATTTGGAGTGGCAACTACTGTTCCTGTGTTTTTTCCGAAATCTGAATCGATCTTGTCAAATGCTCTAGTTATTAGTTCTGTCTATTTCACACCTTTCCGAGTTCCGTAGCTCTTCCACCCACATTGTTCAATTATTTTCATATGTCATAACTTTTCGCCTTTAGTCAACACCAATTTGGTACATTGCTTAGCAAGGGCGTGGGGCTTGATCATGAATTTGATTTTTAGGCTCTTGATTGTCAATGTTCGTCTTTATTTTGGATTTGATACATTCTGAGGAGTCTTCTTATTTTTTAATTTTAAACAAAATCATGTTTCTCTTCCTTTTGTCAAGACGAGATGTTCATGCATACTCTGATAGCTAATGCTCTCAACTTCACATTCCTTCATATTCCAAACTTCAGATTCTGCAAATTTCCCTAGCCTATTTCACTCCTTGTTCTAGTTCACCTTTCCGGCCACTTTCGTTACACAACTGATATTGAGCTAATCTGTTTTAGAGTTCCACCCTTCTTTGAACTTATTTCAGGTCTTTTGGGTTACTTTTTTGACTATTTTAAGTGGGAATGAGCCATGTTGCTTATTCAGTTGAACTAATTTTCGTTTTTTTTTCTGTATTTTTTCTTACGAAAACGTGACTGATTTCGCTAACTGTTTTGCTCCGTCCCATACTCAGTTCTTTTTTCCTTTTAACTTGGTGTTTTTGTATTATTTTATTCTAGCTAATTAGGAGCGTTGTGAGGGTTGGTAAATAGGGCGATAGGCTGGTAGTGGACTTGCTTACTCTGTGCGTGTGTTCGTCTCTGATCGGCAGGTAGTCGATATTGCCTCAATAACGCGTGCAGTGGATGGTTTGGAGGTCTTCCCGATGTCGATGCTGCAGCTGCAAGAGACGCGAGTGGCTCAGCTCTTGCAGACTATCCGACATCAGGTTGGGAACCCCCTCCAAAAGCGCATCCGAAGCGTTATCAAGGCCTGGCAGAAACTCCTCGAACCGGGCTCCGCCTGTGCCACTGTCATTCCACTCCAGCGTAACCTTAACAACAGTAATAACAACGGTTCCACTGCAGCAAAACTTTCTTCCTCGACGCCAAACATCACTAATTCCTCTCCCTCCACCCAAAGCTCAAACGGCCGCTCTAAAATCCCCAGAAATCAGTCCACTACCAATCATCAGCAGCACCAAGAGCCTCCCACAAAAACTCCCGATCGGAAAAAGATTTCCCTTACCACCGCCCTTCCTAACGGCTGCTCTCCAAAACCACTACCCTCTCTGAACGGTCGCGTCTCTGCCGTAATCTCAGATGTGCCAAAACTCGCCAAGGTTAAGTCGACTGCAGAACTGGTTCAGGAGGCTGGTGGCTGCATTGATTCCGTTACCAAGGATCGGATTCTCAGCAACCGCATTGCCAAAGAGTCCGACGAGTTCCCACGCCTTGTCCCGCTGGCTGCTATGCGGTCCTCCCGCAAGGCCAAACATCCGCCTACAACGCTCCCACCGTCCGTGCACCATCAGCAAAAGTCGGTTGCAAGGACTTTGGATCGTACCTTACCTCCTCCTCCACCGCCGCCTCCACCTCCTGTTATACAGTCCTCACCACAACGCACTGCCTCTATTCCTCCAGCAAAGTCGGAGATGATTGCAAAGTTCCTTGAACATGCTCCGACGCGAATGGAGTCTCCACGTGAGACTCGTTCCATACCCTCTGATCATAATCACCGCCACCATCACCACCACCACAAGGAGAAACGTAAGCATGGAAAGCGTCGAAGAGAGAACAAAGAAGACGGCGGAGAAGAAGAGGATGATACAATGACAGAGCCGAAGCAACCTCCAGTCGCCAATTATATAGATGATTGGCCGACATTGTCGCCCCTAACGGAGGAAGTGATGCGAGAAGCAGCAGAGACGTGGCTCAGGGACTACCACTCGGGTCGGACGCCGAGTCAGACGGAGTTGGAGGATGTTGGACATGTGACCGACCTGCTTCAGGGCACTTGGGAGGAGGTGAGCGCTAGCCGCGGTGACAATGGCTGTCTGGAACCCATGACTGCGCTCTACTCTGTCGATATGGGTGACGATCAGCTAGTGCATATTCTGCCCTGGGCCAACCTCGGCGACTATAAACAGACCTTCTTTCCACCGGGAACTACAACGGCCAGCGATATGGACCGACTGATTGATCTTCCGGAGCCGTGGTGATTGAAGGTGGGCTGGTTGCAGTAGCAGTGCCGCTGCATTTACCGAATGCGTGTCGATTTCGTGAGGAATCGATTTCTGTCCTCTCCTCTCCTCCGCTCTCCCCCTCTAGGAATCCCTTTTACAGAACCTAGCTCTGTGTGCGTGTGGCATCTCTTCCCTTTGTATAGAGCAAATGTAATGAGAACTGAGAAGTTGTCGTCTGGCTGTGTTTCCCCCAGGGTTGGGGTAGGCTATGTTGCAGCAGCAGCAATGAGTGTGTCAACTTCCGTGTTTTCTCCTCCGCCTCTTTTAAGATGACAACTCTCTCCCTCACCCAACACTGTTTTTCGAGTGGATCAAAAGAACCAGAAGAAAAAATGAGGTGGAATCTGGTTTACCCATTGTTTAAAAATACGTCCATATACAAGCACTTGCACACAGTCCTATCTTTTTATACTACCAATGCTACAACTACTCTATCTATACTATATGGTTGTTTCTTTGAAAATTAAGTAAAAAGATTCATTTTTAATGTGAAAATTGTGTTGGTTGTGCCAATATCTGGGGTGCCATGAGCAGGAAGGGGAGCGTATCAGTCGGACTTCTTTGCCCTTATTTCATGGTAGGGTTTTAATTCAGCTGGGTGCCATTCACGAGTGTCATAAGTTGAATTGGGGCTCTCGAGCTGATTAATAAACTCGGTAACCCTCCACGTCGCTAATGGCAATGCAGTCCTGGGTTCTTTTATTGCATTAATTCGAACATTTCAACTGCTAAGTTGATGTGACGGAAGATAGTGTGGATTTTATCAGTCTTCAATTTGGGGAGGACGATGAAAGTGGGGTGGGTCGCAATCCTTCTAGATGTTATGGTTTTATGAGAGAGAATAGACTTCACCGTGTTTATTCAAACTGTAGGCGTCTCTGACGTGCGAATCCTGATCATGAGCATGCACACACGAGCTGGTGAGTCATAATTCAATTAGCAATCACAAACGGGTCGATAGAATCGATAACCTTGAGAGTGTACCTCTGCGTCATCCTTTGCGCACACACCCAATGAGCACACATCTTTGATGCCCTTTGAACTGTGTTTTCCGAGCGAAGACCCACTTTCTTAACTCGCTTTCCACTTAGCTATTGCGAGAATGATGCAACGCGCGTACCCTTCCTCTTCCGCGCTCTTTTCTGAGGACTTGTAAATTCACGCGGCAGCTTGCTGCACCGTCGTGTGCACTCTGGTGACCCGACATCGATTCCTCGCCATGGTGACCAAACGGTGCGAAACCGCTTTAGACCTGCTTTTATTACAGAGTGGCGATAGTTGGGTTGCAAAAAGCTCCACTTTTTGGACGGCTTTTTCATAGGGCTGCGGTGGTCGTCAGGCCGAGGAATACTCAGGCTGAGATAAATATTCAACATTGATTAGTCATTGGGGAGTTGCGTTAGGTCGCCATCTTTACAATTTGGGAACTTGGTTAAGATTGGCATTAGAAGTACCCATTAAGGACGGGGTATTTGCGATCTTTGGAGAGTCCAGAATAACAGGCGACAGTTCCAAATCATATGGTGGATTTAATCAACCACGGAAACCAATTTTAAAATTGTATGTCTAAAGAGAACGAAGGTAACAAGTTGGTGTAATCTTCAGCAAAAAGGGAGGAGGTGTTAAGCTAGAGGACCAAAAATGAACGCCTTTTTGTCTCTATTTAAGGGAACTGTAGCATATGAAGCAATAACTGTATTTGGCAGTTGAGATCATTTGTTATTTCGAATAAGCAGAAACGAGTTGTCAAAAATGTCATTTAGTGTGGGCGTTATGGCCTTCATAATGCCCGACTAAGTGGAATTTGAGAAGCTCTAACTAATGGTTAAATGAAGTATGGCTTTGAAAAAGGATGGCTGACCGCAAAAAGGAACGAAATATAACAAAAGATTTAGGTCAATCATTTCAAGCCATAAGTAAAGGTCTTCCTCTCCATTTCAGCTAGGAGAACCCGAAAAGTCGGATTTACTGATGTTAGTATGTGATGAAAGTAGATTTTCTAGTGTTTGGCATATCACTGAAAGCAAAAAGAATGAGAATAAATTAATAGGCGAATAACAGTGGCAAGAAAAGATTCGGTCATGCATTGTGAGGAGAAGTGAATTTTGTACCGCAAAAAAATATGCCCATAAACACAAAATAGCAGAAAACGCACCATTTATTGGGTAATAATATGAAACTGGTAACAAGATTTTATGCTATACTACTTCTTTAAAAATAAGCCCTGTTTATACAATTTTTTATTTAGAAAAGGTATGATTCTATCAAATTATACAAGTTTATAGGGTAAAATATTGCGAACAGCATCGAATGGGTATGTTAACATTTCAACATTTTACTAACAATACCTTATCATTTAGTCTGCTTTCTTATTCTGGCACTCGCATTTTAGTTAAATTTTGATTTTCATGTAACAAGCAGTTTTAAGAATTATTTATGCCAGCTTTACCCACCTTAGGATGCTTCGTTTTACTGAACCAGCAAACTGATTTCTCTACGGCCATGAGTGTTACTATGGTAATGGATGCTGTCTGAATATAAGGCCCTCATTCTCGCGCACCTTTAGGACCCTCCGTTTACATGGGTCTTTTTGTCAATATTGTCCGCTCTGTTAAATATCGAGGCAAAAACTGTGCTTAATTGCTGACCTAAATCTAGTTTTCTCATTTAGACCCCTTGTATTGTCAACCTTTTCAGTTTGTTTGTGTACTCTAAATTTTCACGTGGGCAATTCTTTTCTCCATTTCTGTTGTGCAGTTTTATTCAGAAGCATGTAGTTTTAAATCACTTTTATAATGTTTTGTTGTGATTAATATATAGGAAATCACCTAACCTCAATCCTTTCTTGTTGATTTAACAACTAATTCATAAATGGTGTACAGAGCACTCATGATCAACTCAAATAATCTGTGGGTTTTATTTATCATCGCTAGAGTTATTTGATTATTCTTTACTTATTATTAGCCAAGTGTTCGTTGTACGGGAATAAAACTTTGTTTGAATTTGTTTCGGGTCCAACGCATGTTTTAATACATGTTTTCACGATAAAAATCCAAAAACTACTCAGTAGTTTGTTGATTGTTTGACGCTTTGGATGACTGTGAAACTTCCTCGAACGTTTTAATGCCCTTGGTACGGCACTTTGGATCTCTTTTATTTTTCTGCATTATGCGCTAAATGCCATCTAAAAGTACTTTTAAAGGTTAATGCGGAAATTCTGTACTTTAGTTGCTACGTTTAATGTAGTTCCCTTTTATCGGTGGATATATAGCTTTTATTCCATAGATATTATTTTCGACAGGCGAGTAGTTGTTTGAATCAACGCAGAGGACTCCCAACCAAAAAAAATTTATTTTAAAACGTTGATGTTTTGATAAATTAGAATAATTATCGTTAGTATGAGAAATCTGTGCAATCTACAGCCTTTTTAAAATTTTCATTGGTATGGACCTTCACTGTCTACGGAGTGGACGTCTACCCTTCGCATGAACTTCTTATCAGCATGGGCTCATTCGTGAAGGTAGTGGATTAGCGTGCCGTAATTTTTACGCCCTTCTTGTTCCCCAACTTCTCTACCTAATGAAATAAGTACATACTCCATCCAAAGCCTAAAAAGTCATACCCACTGTGGAATGAATAAAATGGACCATTTTTACAGAACTGTTTGGTCAGCGGTTGATTTAAATGCCACTGAAAATTACATTCTTGAACAGTTCTCATAAGTATCATTAATTTTTTTATCTTAATCCTCTTTCCCTCTTAAAAACATTATAAGTATAATAATTGTAGTCAACTGTGATTTACTTGTAAATAATTGCATTTTTTATAACAGCTGCCAACCGAGCTTTCACATTACCACACTTTTCTTTGCAAGATTCGTTTTATGGGAAGAAATGTGAAGAAGACGGCAGCCAAATACCAACTCTAATGTACCTAAATACACAATACAGCCGTTTCGAAAGGCTAGTCTTGGCCCCGTAATAATTTACCGTTTAATGGCAAATAAACCAAAAAAGCCACTACTACACGACTAGCCGCCGACCCACAGCTATTTCCGTGTGCGCACATTTTCCTCTCCGCTACGGGCGGGTAGTTCGGCGCGCATATGCAATTCCTCGCCTCCGGCGTGGGGGAATTCAACTTAGCACTCGTTCCAAGCTAATAACTTTATTTCCGAATGGTCACTGAAGGCAAGCGGTGCAATTCTTGCGCATTATTGACAGCAATGTAAGCAAACAGACTTCTATTTTTTACGTTACCTAGTTGATTGCCATTTGAAGTCATCTACAACTGTTGAAAGCGAATTCTTTGCGGCTAAAATAAAAAGTGGGGATAAATTTTGGTTGTTTTGAAACTTTTGTGCACTTTTCAGAATCCAGCGTGTTGCTATTGTGGTTTGTAAATGGACACTAGAGGGTGAGCGTTTGGTAAGTCCTTGTAAAAAATTGGGAAATATAGATGGCAAATTAAAGTGGCAATGAAATTGGCAAATAGGAAAATGAAATAGCCCTCTTTTTCTAATAGGGTAATTTTTAAATTGGGTCGACTGGTATGATGGTGTAGGGAGGCTGAACAAAAATATCGCGTCTGGATTTAAAACTTCCGTGCTGAACCAAATGGACGCGTTGTTTTTATGAGGTGCACCAATTGCTGCATATTTAGTCTACATTCCGTGAAGGAGAAATAAGTAAATGGTAGGTCCCATTTTATGGGAAGCAAATCTAACTCCGGCATAATTGACTTTTTAGCGATGCAAAATTCGCCAAAGTTTTGCCTTTTGAGAATGAGTCTGGTAAAAAAATTTTCTTTAAATTGTCGCCACTTTGCCGTCGTGGCATTGGACTTAAATATCGCCTGTTAACAGTTTTACCAATTGTTCTTCACGTTCGCAAGAAGGTCCTTTCTTCGGCAAAAAATCCCTCTGTTCATCCTGCGGACTTTTTAACTTAGGGGGTCTTTCATAGTACTGAGAACTTTCCCTCGAAATGGCAAAACGAGAGTAAAACATAACGTCAAATCATTACAGTACTTCCAAATGACGGGTATGGTCTCCTTTCGCCTAGCGTTGTATTTTGACTGTCAAAAGTGGAAGAAATTAATGTGGGAAGGGTTGATCGACCGTGAGTTATTCTATTGTGCTAAGTAGTCCCAAAGTCCCAAAAGACTTTTGCCTGCCTTAAAAGGAGGCCATTGAGAGAGCAGAAAGTAAACAATGGTGTTATCGCTGGTGCGCCACAATTCACCACAGGGGGCATGAATAGGCACAAGAGTCGGGGTGGGAGAGAAGATTTATTGCAAACATGCAGAGGGTCTGGACGACTACGTATAAAATCAAGAAATTAACCGATCCAGGGCGGTTAAATACACTAGCAAGGTAAACATTGTTTTATTGCACCTACAGAGAAGTAGAGGTCTGTTTTTCTTCACTCCCCCAAGGATATGTTTTAGTCGGTATTGTTACTTTTTAATTTAAGGAAGGATCTTCAGTCGTAAGGAATTGTTTCAACGGAGGTTGGAGGATAGGAAATGGTACCTTTGAATGCTTGATGGGGAGGCCTGTATTTACCTTTGATTTAAGGAATGTTCCGAAGACAGAATTAAAAAAAAAAGAATACTTGGTGATTGGATTTGCAAAACAATTGACGCGTTCATTGTAACCTCAATGAGGATATCCAATTTTCAAATTTTATGATAAATGAGTGTCCAGTTCATCGCTCGCATCCAGGCACAAAACTGCAGGCTATTCGTCCCAATTGGTTCTCCAATTTCGACAGTTGTTGATTCCTAAAAAAATCTTTTGTGAGTCTGTGCATGCATTACTCTTTTGGAAAAAATATTAATTTGAAAATATTTAGGAAATAAATTTTCAGAATTCACATAACTTTCACATCCATTTTAAGGCTACTTCTGATAGGCAAAAGACGCCAAGTGCAAAGGCATAGAAGAATGGCAAATGACTTACTACAAACAGTAAAGCATTCGCTCCTGTCCCACTTTTATTCTCCCATCGTCTTTCACACTTCACATGAGACCTTGTAATTGCCTCTACCGCCACGAAAAGATGGCAATCAGGGCTTGGCAAAGTGCGGGAAACATGGAGGTTGGGGCATTTTCTGTGCTTCCTGCCTCAAAGTGTAGTGTGAAAA